CAACCTTAAACTAGATATTAGTATAAGAAATGTGAACTCTTTCAATAAAAAATGACAATGAATAGAAGAGAGGGCCTGTGAGTTAAGATGTTTGGAACTGAAAATTCAGAGGATCGCAGACATGCCCTGGTAGTATTCCAACATATTTCATTGTCATTTTTAGGGGTCTGCATGGAAGGTCCCGGTCCCGATCACATTTTGCATGACATTCTGGAACGCAGCAGCCACGATTTATGTTCATTCACGGATGCTTATTATTAATTCAAATGGCAAGGTGCAAAAGTATGCAAAGCGGCAACCTGGTATTACGCTTCGTTCATGCAGGCTTAACGTTTTACCCATTATGCAAATGTTATGTTTAACTTTAAGTCATAAAGATCTGACTTCGCATTACGCAAATCTAATACGAGTGCTTACGCATTGCAGCATGCAGACCCCCATTTTTGAAAGAGTTCAAAAAATAGAAGCCAACTCACGGTCAAGGTCCGATGTTCTCTTGTCGTCTAGATAGGTACACGTCAGGTCCCTCAGGAACACAGTAGGCAAATCCTCCTTGAATAGGACAGGTACACAGGATAGCTGACAGATCCGTCATCAGGAATATGGACAGGAACACAGACAGGTCCCACAGCACACACAGGAACATGGTCAGGTACTGTCTCAGCTTCCCATAAGCTAGGGTGTAAAAGAAATACATAAACATTCAGAAAAATCTCATGGTAACTTTACATACACCATACATACACCAATATTTACAATTATTCAAATAACATGCATGACATCATAATCATCATGATATTCACAACATATGTTGTAAACCTGCTTTGATTGGGGGAAGAGCACATGGAACATTGTTAGTGATCCAAAAGAAGAGCATAGCCAAAAGTGAACATAGAGCACTCTAACCAAACATTAACAACAATCACATGAAAATACATCTCACACAAGATATCACATAAGGTATCACAACTCATTTGTTCTAAAACCTGCTTTGGTTGGGGGAAGAGCACATGGAACCTTGTTTAGTGAGACAAAAAAAAAAGCATAACAGGGCATACACGAAGAATATCATAACCAAACAACATTATCACATGAAAAGACATCTCACATATGATACACATATCAAGATATCACAATAGAAATAACATTACATGTAGCAACATAATATGCATCTCATGTTGACATTCATTGAATTAGAACGAGGTACAAAACATCAGAGCAAACGACACACATGAAATGCATTTACAAACATCGGTTCATGAAAATTAAAAAACATCAAGCTCATAATAATATGCACAGAAATAATGATTTGGCAATAGTGTAGTGTGTAAGCATATCTAAGGCCACACCAATTTAATTTCTTGGTTAACGGATTTTTGTAGAAAAATAATGGAGCGGGCGGGCGAAAAAAAAATAAAAATAAAAACAGGCCTAGGCATCCTATTATGGCCCAAAATGGTATGACAAGAGCCATGAAGTCAACATACCAGGCTGGTTCAAAATTTAAACAATGAATTTTGAACTTTTAATGATACTACTGCGTTGAAAGATGGAATGACTGTAACAAGTAGTAACAAAAGGACTGTTTTCAACTGTTCAGGGCAAAATATGAGCATTTTGCAGTTGATTCTGAATTTTTATTTTTATTTGCAAATCAGAAAAAAATGAAGCGGCGAATCCGTTAACCAAGAAATTAAATTGGTGTGGCCTAAGGTACTCAATAAGTTAAGTAAGACTGTTCTGAAAAAGCCAAACATAAAACATTATGATAACAATTCCAAATAACACCAAGTGAGAAGCAGCAGCTGCAGCTCATATGAGTTGCACATCGATCTGAAAACATTACATTTCATAAAATATTGGACCCAACACTGAACTGCTTGAACTGGGGACAAGCAAATGTTGTAGTGTACAGTCATGTTACCACAAACATGAAATCTGAGTACTTTGCATGGTTCTAAAAATCACACAGTACATGTAACGTTACATGATATTAGAATACTCAAAAGATTTTAGAATAAATCACACATTTTCACACATCAAGAAAGTTTCATAACTGTTATAATTTCTAAATATGGCATTGAAAGATATGGAGAAAAACATGTCATGTCAAATATGTATTCATGTATAACATATTCATCAATATCAAATAAACCACGATTATCATGCAAACATCTGTCAAAGAAACTGTCATGATTTCATCCACACATGCAATTATATCAACTAATATTAAGATTTCAACTTAGGAAGTAGTTGAAGTTTTCGTACAGTACCTCTGAAAACATTTCCCTTGGTTTGCAGCTCCTTGATGTATTTCAATACAGAACCTGGAACATAGGACCTTCAGTACTGCAACAACACCAAAACAGGAACAAGGCATACAAATTATCATATTCAAGTATCATTGGCTCTATCATCAATTTGTCAACAGTTTACACGACAAATATCAAAATTCAAATCTCATATTTTACCAACGTCAAATACTTTAGGCTGATGTATAAGACTGCAAGCAAAAGAAACCCTTCAACAGTCGCCGTGGCTACAAAGTCAAGTTCGAGTGTCGATCTGTTTAGGATTTTAACGCTCAACAACTGGAAAAGTCCTGACCTGGAGTGGACCAGACCAAAACACCGAACCTCTTACAGTCCTTTAAGCCTATGGTGAATTCTTTGTGTCTTTTCTAAATACATTTTACTTTCCTGAGCACTATGTGTCGTATATCATAATAATTTGTCCTGGATATGGTCTTTGCCTTCATACGTAAACAACTCTGTTACAGCCCCCCTCCCCACTCCAACCTACCGGTCGTCTGGGTCTCCCTCCAAATCTACAAGTGAAAACTTGTCCGTGTTATCCTCTTCACAAACGGCACTATCTTGTCCCTACTGCTTGCTCTTAGCCTCGGAACACTTTTGTTTTACATTGGAACACATTGAATTTGACCAAAACACACAGGACAACAACAACAACCCAAGTTCCACATGTTTTATCGGTCAGCAGTTATTCTCCCTATGCAAATCACATGTAACACAAAAGCGCCCCCAGCGGTTGCTCATCTTAGTGCAGCATTAACTCGTTGGGGACAGTTGCCGCAAATTACTTTCGAAATTCTGTCCTTTTCCTTAAGTTAACTTAAAGGGGATTTACACACAATTGTCCAGAGAGTATGTACGGCAATTTAAAGTACAACTTACCACCAAAGTGGACGTGGCGCGTCTTCCTGGGCGGAATTTTTACCCGCTCGTTCTTCCCTTCCATGCACAAGTCACCATCTTGGAACGGCGTGTTGCACGCACAGGTGCCACCTGCAGCTGTTCATCACGAGCAAAATTTGAATTCGATAATCAAGTTAACATAAGATTAACAGGGGGCCAATAAACAATCATCACACATGCAGCACTGAAACTACAATGATTTACCTTACAATTCGAAATTTTTCTATCCTACTCATTCAACTTTGTAAATTTAGGAATAGGAGGTAACGGGGGGTGTCCTAATTCCGACCTACCCCTAATTCCGTACTAGTTTGAAAAATCCTTGTCGCCGCGCTATGCATGGGAGCACGTGCCTATAAATAACCACAAGAATGGACAAAGTTTCTGTGTTGATATCGGTATTCTCACAAAGTTTGTTCCAGTTCGCACGGTCCGATAACAGACGATTGAAAAATCTGTATAAATTCGACGCTTGTTCGGGGGTTGACGAGCGTGTTAAAAAACGCAGCTTTGATTTTGAAACAGCCGCTTTGGAGCAAGTAGCGTAATGGTACAAAGAAGACTTGTTTGGGACAGAAAAATAGTTATAGATTGTTTTAGTCATAATTTGTGTATTTTAGATACCTAACTCTCTCCTCAGATTGGCCTTTGTTAGATACTAGGTCGGAATTAGGGCACCCCTTTTGCGATAGAACGTTCCACCGGCAGAATGACGAAAAACCTGCCGTAAGTTTCGCGAACCATTACGCTTGGGTGCAAGGCGCCACACTGAAGTGAAATACACAGCTATTTAGCTTTAATCGTTGTTATCTTTATCTGTAAATATTATAGCTCGTGTTAGGCGGGTTTTTGGTGAGACAAACCATTACCAAAGGTATGTGCGTTTGCATGGAACATAGGTCGGAATTAGGACCCCTCCCGTTAACATTAACGTTAACGTTAATTTTCTAATAAATGATATTTGTTTGACCCATTTACCGCGGTAAATACCTCTAGGAATACGTCTATAATATCTACAATGACTCGGTACAACGCGACATACGTGTATCAGATTACTTCGATCTTCTCTTTATTGACGATTTTTAAACTGAAAAAACTGTATAAAGCACAGCTATATCGATTTTTAAACTGACAATTCAGTTTTATTTAAATAACTCGAGGAGGGTTTATCTAATCTAGAAGGGATTTTCTTGAGCTCGAAATGATTAGATTTTTGGGCCCCTGCAGCTGAACTTACAGTTTTGATATCTCATGATCTGGACATGCTGGAGTCGATTTTAGGATGGTATTACAGTAGCTTTTATGCTCCTGAAGAAGTGACATGGGTTTGGGCCCCCTAGCAGCTTCTTTGGGAACTGCAGGGACATTTGTTTGAAAGTCATTTGGAACTCAAGTGAACATGAGCATCATCAAATCTAACCTCTTCAATCAGGATATTACTTGCATAATTTATTAGGAAATGCTAGAATAGCTTTGTTTTATAACTTTTTTCTCATTCAGCATCAGGATTTAATTTACGATTTTCCAAAAAATGTCCAGTGCTCTAGTAATTCACAGTAACTGTTTCAATTATTGAGGAAATTGGAGAAATTAAACACTGTAAATTGGTTTTCCTGTGTGTGGAAAGTGTTCAGCACCAAGGACAGGTTTCGCTATACTAGTACTTAAACACCTCAACCGACATGTTTAAAATAACACCTCATTGGGTGAAGAATTGATATAATTCATGATATGATGCATTAAAATTACAATCAATAACACAATGAAACATTTACAATTCGTCAATCATAAGGTAGCTCTTGATTTATTGATCATAATTGTAAATATTAACTTTATTTGGCAAATGTATGAGATCGTAGAACTCTAGTACATGTAGTACATAAATTTCAAATTGTTACTAGTATTAGAGTATCCTGATGAAAGAAATGAAATATTCTGATTTCTGCTTGTCATATCAGACATTATATATGATCAATCTGCTTATACATATGCGATAAAACCTTTTATTAGCAATTCTGGTATTTTAAATCGGCTGTGTAGATATATACCGACTAGTTATACTTTGTTAATACCAGGACACAGATCACTGTGAACTAGAACTAAAGTGAAGACAACCCACAACCCACTTCTACATAAAGAAGCTTAGTTTTTGACAATCGCTTTTTCAACAATTGATGCATTTAATGTTACTTCCTAATTCTCATCCTTTGTCAATCTTCCTTCATTGTTAGGCATTTCATTTACATAATTATGCTAATATAACTATAAGTGCATGAAACAAAATTATGTTAACTTTGCAAATTCTGCTGTAATTAATTCCCAACACTTCAACTCCATGCTCTCGATAGCTGATGCCAAATTACAATCAACATTTTTACACAAAAAATCTGCATTATGCTGATCATGAGAATAAATGGCATCTCAACAATGATTGTTTCCTCTGGCATGTACATTGCCTATAAACTATATATTTTATTTTGTTCATACACATAAGATTCAGCAGTTACCTCAACAGCACTTGCATGACTACATGCATGTTCCGAATAATTTGAGTGACTACAATTGTAATATTGCATACAATAAACTGCTGTATTGCCAGTAGCCATCCTTCTATTATCATTCCATCACTGTATAGTACAGCTTGTCTTGTTTTCAGACCCTGAGGATGAACTGGACTGTTGAGAGGCCGGGCGCGTTGGCGTGTTTCCCATTGAGAAGCGGTAGGAAGTTGAACTGGTGTACCGTGATGACGGACTTTGTACGCCATACGATGATGGGTAGGAAGTTGAAGAAGCGGACTGTCGTGTAGGTGAACTTGTGGCTGATGATGGTTGGGCTGATCCTTGCCTGCCATAGCCTGAGTAAGAAGACTGTCGAGTAGGTGTACTGGTGGACGTTGCTTGCCTACCGTGTGCTGAGTAAGAAGATTGTCGAGTAGGTGTACTTGTAGTAGATGTTCCTTGCCTGTAACCATGTGTTGAGTAAGTAGAAGAACTGGCAGATGAGTAGTTTGACCCAGGGTAACCTGCTAATGAATCCAACATGTCAAAAGCAGTTAGGTCAATCTGGTCAGCATAGTTGATCAGGTACGCAGGATAGCACTGGTCGTCTTTGAACACAACGAAAATTGTGGGGTTAGTCTCGTTATCCACACACGAGTCGTAGAGGTCGCCATTGGGGTCGCTTGGATTGATGGGAGGGGGGCGGGGGATGTCTGGTTTTCCCCTGGTGTACATACCAACCAACACGTCGGCTAGGAACATGTAGCGTGTCCCGTCGGATGAAGCTTGTGAGTACACGTGGCTGTAAGAAGCATCTTTTGCGAAGTAGGACCCTTTTCCGTACAGGGTGGCATTCTTCCCGCTGAGACGGTGGTCAAAGTTCTGGTGGCAGATGCCCTTGATGATGTCTGGGTCTGTGCCATGGAACAGCTTCCTTTCATCTAGGAGAGAAGGAATGCACATGTAGTTGCTTATAAACTTTAAACAGTTTAGAATAAACATTTACCTCTCATTACAAAAAAATCAGAATCATAAGTATATCATGTGTATAACTATCATGTACAGTGTATTTAGATATAAATCATTTGTTTGTAAAATGTATTAAAACGACTTACATGGATTACCATTGTGGGTTCTTGTCCTTCCATATCGAGTTTCCATGGACTTTTGAATCATCTGTTGTTTGTTCCTGTTCAACAAAAATTACAGTAAGAAAACAAGAGGTACATTGAAGCTTGCTTCATGTCAATACAATAAAGACAGTAATCTAACAATCCAATGAAGTCGTACAGATTATTTCAAGGTACATGAACGTAGTACAGTGTGTACTTTAATTTACATACAAATGTACATCAAAATATTCTACACTTATAACATAGAATAAACGCAATAAATAGTACCCTGGCAATTGTCTTCATGGTATATATGTTCTGAAAGAACTCTTGATGTAACATCAGTACTGTATCAAGGAGTCAGAAAAAGGTGCTACTTCAGAAAAGTCTGTACACAAATCAAAACCTCTCACATGGAGTATTTTTCCCAGAGACGAGGATTCTGCACTCTCTCGACTTCAAGAATGATCTTGTCTTCCCTCATTGTCTGTCTGAAGAGATTCTCCACCTAAGGAAAGGAAAACGACAGTATTTAATGTTTTTCCTGACATCTGTAACACCTTAATCTGCCTTAGAATACTTGTATCTGATCATACAATTTAATGTAACCATCATTGTTTCTACACAGACTAAACATGCCATGATCTTGCAATATACAAATCCATTCTTTGTCACTTTAAAAAATGCAAAAAGGTTCCATTTCTTCCCTTACCTCAGTACCTTTATTAAAAGCGTGCTTTAAGTTGTGCTTAAAGACATGATTTTGTGCAGTGTTGAATCACGATTGCAGAAATCTTGATACCAGCCTAGAATCTAGATACAACAAGCCCCTTTTGCAGCATTCATACAACAGACAAAATACACTGTACCTCTCTGAACTCTGCATCTGTTGGTGCCAGCTTCACTCGTATGAAGGCTTCCTTCTGTGACATCGGCACCCATGTTGTGGGAAGTGATCCTCTTGTCACAGAAGAGGGCTGGCTGGCTGCAAGGTTTGTTCTTGTGTTGCTGTAATATGATAAGAATAATTAATTAGGTATTATATTGTGCTGCCCCGAGGTATATTGGTGAGATAATCCCTGGTCAGGTACAAAAAAACACTGAATAAACCACCGAGTAAGTCACGGTACAGTAGTTTGTGGCGTGGATATTTGTAGCGTTACTACGAAGAGAAACTGATAACAATAATTAACATTAATAAAACAAATGAATATAACAAACGATTGCATCAAGTGATGAAAACAAGGTAAACAAACATTTTATGATTTACAGTACAATCATAGTTTTTATCCCTTTTTGAGGTTTGATTTGATAAATAAAATCAGGTAACTTTTAGAGTCATCAATTGCCAAAGACAGTGAATTATAGTCTGGAAAAATGTACATTTCTGACTAAGTGTGGGAAAGAAGAACTACCTTGCCGAATGAAACTGGACAAATTTGGGACGTCGTCGCACATTTCTCTTGGTGGAGTAACGAGTGTCCAAGTTCTGTTGGTACATCCCTGTGAAGTCTAGGGTGTAGGGGTACTCATTGGTTTGGAACTTGTAGCTGGGCTGTTTTGTGATGTACGCTTGTTCTATGTCATCAGACGTAATGAAGGCTGTTGTCCCAGGCTGTTATAAAACACAACACAAGAAGAAGAACTTTATTGCAGATGAATTGTAGTGGGTGCAATGTATGGCAATATTGTACATTATATTGTTGGTATTGCTGAGCTAAACGATTATCTAACAGTACATACAGTTTTAAGAGGTAACACAGTTCTAACAGGTCTAAGAAGCTAATAAATCTACTAGTATACATCATTTAGTATGTTCGTCCCTGGGCTGATGTGACAAAATACAAAATTAATGATGATTATAAAATATAATTATACCACAGTACCAGCCTGCTTGCAAGAAATAAATTAGGTATACATTGTAAACAATTTTTATTAGCAAAAAGTAACATGATGGAGAATATTCATAATAATTTAATGTTTGTACTTAATTGTTTCCATCAAATTTGTATCTAATGGTCAGGTTCATCTCTAAACATTATGAAAAACAGACCTTGACACTTTTGCCATACTCGCACCAGGAGGAACCATTTCCCTCATAGTACCACATCCATGTTGTTGCCCACTCCCCACTGGTGGACTCCACAGAAGATGGTGTTGAGAGGCGACGGATTCTAACACGTTTACTCGGGTAGGAGTCAGAGATTTCTAACTCCATCCTGTCAAAGTGAACTGTCCAGCCATTGCTGAAAAAAATACCATAACGATACAGTAGATTTGTGACCTGATGTATATCCTTGATGTATTGTATGATGTTGCATTGATATTGTATTGTATCATTTTATTGCAGTGTCTGGGAGGGCAACTTGCAAAAGTGTTTATACACCTGTTTTGCCCTCCCTTCCACTTGTATATTTCATGTACCAATGGCGAATACAAATAATTAAAAATATGATATTGTTTCCAATTGGTAATTGTATAGGATGTATTAGGCAACAGTTACTGTTTTTCTGGCCTCAAGAAACATGAGAATTTTGTGACTGATTATTTCACTGAAAACCCATAGAAAATAGACGTTTTTGGTTTTCGACATATACACTTTCTTCTTGCATGTCTACATGTATATGTCAATGGGTGCTTTTAATAATTGATTAAAAAATAATTCTATCTGTAAAGAGATACCAGTTTTGGCACGTCTCTGTATCATAACTATAAGTATAACTACAACTAGACAATAGACACTTCATTATGTCATGCCTGTCAATATACAGCTAGGAATATTATCAAACTCAAGAAAAGAGGACAAATAGTGAAATACTCACAGACGTGTTTCAATGTCCAGGAGATTAAAGGTGATGTTAGATGGTTTGGAAAAGACCTCTTCCATCTTTGTCGTAACTTCAGGACTGAAACTTGTCCACACTCTACCTGTAATTGTGTAAGCAACATAAATAATTTAGGTACATATTAAAATTCAAAAGATACCATTATACAACATCGCTCTAGTCAATGACATCAATGTCCTGTCTATTTGCACAATTGTAAAAACAATGTGGCATTCAAGAATAACACATCATACAAATATAAAACTTTACATGTACATACAAAATGTACCTTGAGATCTGGATTCATTCTTTGAGTCTTGGTACTGCCACAAGTAAGGCGTCTTAATGTGATGATGGCCACACAGTCGAGACTTGAGACACCGTCCTGCGAGGAAGTCTTCACAGATGGTCGTATCGCCATCCAAGATGCGCTCTTCATTTGGATCTGGAGCCTTGGCTTTGGGTTGCATCACTTGGGCTGGTGGGGGTGTATTTGGTTGTAGTGTTGCGGGTGGTGAAGTAACGTTGGGTTTCACCACCTGGGATATGTTTGGTTGTAGAGTTGTAGGTGTTGACGTAACCTTAGGTTTCACCACCTGGGATATGTTTGGTTGTGGTGTTGAGGTTGTAGCAGGCCTGGCTACAGGGTACTTCGTGGATGTAGCTTGTAAGTTCTTTGGCACAGACGGTCGAGGCCTAACTGCTGTTGTTGGAGGAATCAGTAACGTTTTGATGACCACTCGCTGGTCTGTGTTGGCCATACGGAACTCGGACAAGAGTTTACACGTTTGGGGAGTGTCGAAGCAGCTCTCGTGGTTCAGATCACATGTATCTTCAGCGCAACGGCCTGTGACAAACTCCGCACAAACGTGGACATCGCGGCAGCGGTCTGCTTTAAGGCAGCTGTGGGAGTTGTACGCCTCACACACTCTAGGTGTCGAGTTGCGGATGACGTTGATGATTTGGTCATCTGTCAGGCAGTCAAGTTGAAGTTCATGGACAACTCTTCTTGCTTGTTCACTCTGCAAATCGTGGACAAATTTGCAGTTGGACCCATGTTTGCAGGATCCCTGGATAAGGTTGCGACAGACGTGGAAGAATTGACACTGGTCTCCCTTCTGACATCCGGATTTCATGGTGTGACCAAAGCAAAGACGTGCTTTTGGAAGGATGACAGACACCTCCAGGTTTCCATCTGCCGTCTCGTAGATCTGGAACTTATTTGGACGCTTGCGAAACCAGGATGTTGTCTGAGTCTGGTCTAACCCAAGAGGAGAAAACTCATTGATCCAAATGCTGTCAAACAGTACCTTTCCATTGTACTGGCAGCATATCGATTTAAAGACATAGGTTTCTGAAGGAGGTTTGATGGATGTTGGTTCCACTTCTGTAGCCAGATTCCCTTCTTCAGACGTCCTCCTTCCAAAGTTGACTCTCCCGCCTCTTCCACTACTACTTCTCCCTCGCCCACCTGCCTTCCTTCCTGCCTTCTCCAGACTCTCTGTGCTGCAGTGCTGTGAACTTGCACCAGTAGAACCGAGTGACAAGTTTTCTGTAGACCTGGCACGGTTCGCAGCACCCCTTCCTCCACGGCCACGACCTCGCCCCCTACCTCTGCTCACTGGTACTGCAGCTTCGGATCTCTTAGTAGCAAACAATACTAGCATTGTGCTGTACTTTAGGATGTGTTCAGGCATCTTGGAGATCATGAAATGTTTCTGTAGCACTCTGTCATTGTGGGGATCAGCAAAATTATGAGACAGCTTGCAATCGCCCTTGCAGCTCTCCTGGATGTAGTTGTTACAGATGTGGAGATTGGTACACAGAGTGTTATCCCTGCAGCCATTGGCCAAGTTGTAAAACTTGCAGATCTTTGGCAGTGACCCTCTGATCACCTTCACTATCTTATCATCTAAGAGTCCGTCTAGTCCCATCCCTTTAACAACCTTCTTATTTTGCTCGCTTTGAAAGTTGTGAGGAAATTGGCATGTTCCACCACTGTTGCAGCAGTTGCCTTCCAAGTAATCCTTACAGATGTGCACGTTTGTACACCCATTGCCGAATTTGCACTTGCTGTGGGTAAAATCGTAACACAGCCTCACCTTAACAATGGCTGTCACGGTTTGAACTTTGCCCTTTATGTTTCTTTTTACCAGGTACCTCCCTGGCTCGTCCCGTAGCCATTCTTCCACGTCGTTCTCCTCTGTTTCTGGGTAGAAACTTTGCTGTAGGAGCTCACCAAGACTTACGGTTCCTCCCCTTTGAAGAATGAAGTCTTTAACGGGGCTCTGACGTGAAGCACTCTGTGTCTTGGGCCTGTTTCCCTGGGAATTAGGCTTTCTTCGCCCCCGCCCTTTCTTGTTTCCGCCAGCATTGCTGCTCGCTTGACTTGTCACACTTTCTGTATCACTGTCTGAGTTATCCGAGTACATATTGCAGCCACCACGGAATTAAAGACAAATGGAAAGTACCTACTTTTCAGAACCCCCCGACTTTGGACGCTAACGTGAGCGTTTGATCCATATGGAAAACATACTTCTGATGACTCACCGCCTGTCTCCAGGATTGGAATGGTCCATTGATTTTATGGTGGGGGTGCGCTAATGTTACTAGTGTTGTTTATTTTTTTTCGTTCAGGGTTATATACATGTTTGTCAGCAAATTTAACATGTTGGTATACACTAAATACTATCACGGCTTACTGTGAAGTAATTGAACTAAGTACTAGTCTTAAAAGAAGAATATCTTATAATAAAGTTTCACCTATTTTTAGTTGACTGTGCCAACTTTCGGTGACAGGTATCCAGTTTCGGTGCGGCCAGATTGTGACGAAAAAGGTCAAATGCCATATCGTGACCTCCGGAGTGGGGGTCAAGTATTTATCAATTTGTTTGTGACCGTATTGATCATGAAATACTTAGATAGTCCTATTCAAACACGTGCCTTATATGGACATATCAAACTATTAATCTCCAAGCAGATACTAGGGTGGCCAAGGTGGCGTGTGGGGATAGACCCTCTCTGGCGAATGGATACTGCCTGGCCAATTTGATAATGTCTTTGGCATAGGATATGCTTGAAGATAAGTTATGTATAACAATAAGTTAAGTATAGTGATGCTATTCATTCTATGTCAAACACATTGGCGCTATGTTTTATTGCGTTGAAACACTGCTTCCAAATCTAACGCTAACGTTAACGTTATATACCATTGCCCTTCGTTATACATTTCTGTTTACCTCCGTGAAAATGGAGGTATTGTGTTGGGCATGTGTGTATTTGTTACCTCCATGAAATGTGTCATGGAGGTTATATTTTCAGTTGCGTTTATCTGTCCGTCCGTCCGTCTGTTGGTCAACAAGATAACTCAAGAACGCCTGAATGGATTGGTTTCATACTTGGTGTGTTGGTAGGGTGTGACGAAAACTGGAAATGATTAGATTTTGGTCCCCCTAGTGGCTTCCCTTGGTACTGCAGCGCAACTTCCGGTTTTGATATCTCGCGATCTGGACATGCTAGGGTCATGAAATTTTGATGGAAGGTAGCTCTCGTGCTTGGGAAGAAGTCATATGAGTTTGGGCCGCCTAGCGGCTTGTTCTGGAACTGCAGGGCACTTTCTGGCGAAATGTTTAAAAGCCAATAAGTCCAGACAGGAACAACATATTTTCATTATTTTTGGTGTGTAGGTAGCTGAGAGAGAGATGTACATAATTAAATGCAAATTATGCAAATGAGGACTTAATTTGCATAATTAATGAGGACATTCTATAATTACAGTGTTTTACATTATACAACTTACATACATGTAATGTATGTAACCTATGGCAGGCGGAACTTCAACAGATACTAATTATGCAAATGATGACCTAATTTGCATAATTAATGTGAAAATTCTATGATTTCGTTATGGTGAATGATGAGAATGTCATACTTGGGACATCTGTAAGTTAATCAAAAGTTAACATACATCACGATGCATATATCATGTTAATGCAGAGGTCATTTGAACAATTAAAGAAGAAATTTACATTTACATATCAAGATCATATTTCATGGAGGTATGAGATCTCGGAATTCTAGTTTGATAATTGTGGTTTGGGATTATGATGATATTTAATATGTAGGCAGATCTTGCCAAAACTAATTAAGTCAAGGTCTATTTCTCCTGGCGACTTTCTTTGGTATTGCAGCCTAAAGTCCGTTTTTGTTTTGTATCTGTTGTCCTGGACATGCTATAATTTAGATGTTATAGCTTTTATGGATGACATCCGCGCGCAACTAAGTAAGTGGCACTGAATTGTATGCTAGTATTAAAAACAGAGAATGAAATTATGCCTACTTCATATCTTTGCGATGTGTTGAGGCGATCCACGTACATATGCATGTTGGACATGACTACGTCATGACTTCAAACATGTATGACTTTGTACAGCTGTATAGTATGATGTTTTATTCACAATTTTTAATATATTAGTGATTGATTATGTAATGTAATGCGTGCTGTGTCATATGTGAAAATTTGATATACATGTACTTCATGTCATATGTCACTCATATGACATGCCAGTCAATTTTGAATAAAACTGATACTGATACTGAAATGAATCGAACACCCGAATGAGGTTAACAAAGCAAGACATTTGAGACAGCATCCATTGTCTTTCATACACATAATGTTACATGTTTAAGGTCAAGGATATACAGTGTATGTACCCCGCCCGACAGGGACGACGGATGATGTATGTATTACGGTAAGTCAATTGTGAACAACCCTCAGCCTTGGATAGGCGAAAGTTGCACTGGATTTTCATAACAATTCGAAAAGCGAAAAGAACAAAAAGATGATCAAATTTGTGGACATCACTATATGGGATGCCGCTCCAGCTCCAACACACTGCTTTCCGGACTCATTTGGATGGGTGGGACAACCCCTCTGCTCTGGTGCGTTTCCAGCGACGTCTAGCGGAAGTGTGAAGTTCTGCAGCCCACAGGTCAGGGCGATATTGTCTATGTTCTCCTGAGTGGCCTGGATGACTGCGGCTTGAACGTTTACGTTGTCTGGCAAGAACGTGCCGTTGTCCCTCCGACTCAGGAGGAGAATATACTCCTCATCAATGTTAACTGTAGAATTAGGAATGTAAGAATGAAGGCCTTATTTAAATTCTAATGTAACGTTATATATCAAAGCTTAAAAATTGTGAACTAAAATGTGTATCATATACATTTGTATTCTTTTTTTATAAAATCACGTTTTGACGTGGGTTTTACCTTCGTTGGCAGTGCAATGTCCTCCTATGTATCCCATCTCAACCACTGTGATGTCAGATGACAAGGGGCCTCCTTTCAAAACACAGTAAACCTCCATGGTTCCATCGTATACCTCTGGCCAACCATGCTCAAATTCTACATCAATTAAAAACAGAATTAAAAATAAGTGGTTTCTTGTAAGTCAAAATTCTTTCGAAAATTTGTACATGCAAATAATAAGCTATATTGGAAAATAGACTAAATACAGTCTGTATACTCTATATCGTCTTAGTAAAACTTTCTAGACTTCCTCAGAAGGGTTATCAAATTATATGTAATGTACTTGTTCTACTGTTGAACGTGGTGAAATTCGAGTATTTTTGAATTCACTCACGTGGTGTTTTGGTCTTGTTCAAGGCTTTAGCATGGACCACGATATCAGCTAGAGAGACACGCTGGTTGAGTGACATCTCACGCCAGCCAAGAGGCACGGAACAGCTCTGGGAAGCTGTCGGGAGGACAAGCAAGACAGCACCGACAGCAAAGAAGGGCAGATATACCACGATCATGCTGGTGCTTCACGTTGCTGAAAAGTGTAGGAAAACATGTAGTAAGAAATGGCAGAATGACTCGTAAATTGAAATACATGTATATACAGGTGTCATAATCCATTACATACAAATAGAATCCAAGCTCAAATTCAAAACACAGAATATTACAAGTTGTATTATTCAAAACACAGACAATTTCTCCACCGTACTGACTTACTAATTTTGTCTGCGGGTGTTGTGAGACGACAATCACAGGTATCTACCACCCTGCAAATTAGTTTGGAACCGGTGAGAACGCCTGCTCCATGTTTTTACCCCACGCTGAGTAACTTAATATCGTCGTGACGTCACAGGAAGTGCGTTGTTGTTGTCGCCCACTCCTCCCCAGCACACCTGGTACGGCCGCTTTTGATGTTTACGTGATGCCGGAAGTCACCTGAGTATATAAAGGGACGGTTCTAAACGTTAGGTCCGTCACGGTGGATGCGGTAGCCTCTTCCAAGCCATAAAACTGATCATGACAGTGTGACTGCTTACTCTTGCACATCTAACTGTAAGTCAGACGTTTTGCCTCTCGTAGATTATGTTTTTAATTTAAATACGCTACGTGTGGTGGTGCGCGAGGGGGTATGATTATGTCAAATTATGTTGTGTTTATTATTGCTTTCAGACGTTCAATTGTTAAATCTAGGTCATAACAGCCATAAGAAAACAACTTACCCTTGTGTGATCTAGATCTCCACGTCACAGTCCCGAAAAGAAACTTTTAATTTGGCAACCGGTCTTTTTGTACAATCTTCTCGAAGCAACCGGGTCAAGAGATGTTGATCATTAACTACGTTCTCTAGTCAACACTATGTGGAGTTTGGCCTTTTTAATCTATCCATTGCCATTCCTTACAGTTGCCCAAAAGAATTCAATCGAGAAATCATCATCGAAACGACCGAAACAGAGGAAGAAAATGTCGTCTTTCTGTCTGCTTGCTGTCGGCGTTGCCCTACTGTTCCTCCCGAACGCGCACGGGTGTTCCATGGTTCAGGGCTGGCAGCCCATTCCGTTTACGCATCGGCTGGTGCAGGCGGACATCGTGGTCCATGTTAAAGTGTTGAACAAGACCGAGACACCTGGTTAGTACACTTGCGGAATAAAACTCGTGAAAAAACTGATAGAAATCTGTTGATCTGGGTAATAATCTTAATTCGTGACACCAAAGAGCAAACTTACAGCAGGGAAGAAACTCCCTGAATTGCAAAGAGTTTGCGTACAAAAATTACAAATTACAACGGTACAAGACAGGCAATATATACAATCCTTCATATACATTATAATACATTATTTTGTACCAAGCAAACCTCCTGACTTTATACAGATGAGGTTTAGGTAAGATAACATGACTAGTGCATATGACAGTTCTTTGTTGTACAGGGTAATGGCCTTAATATTAATAGAGAAATTTAACCTGATCCAGTTCAAGTTAATAGTATCTTTATCGTATATTCATCAGAGTGTTGCAAATTGAACCCTTGATTTCCTGATATCTTGAGCAGGTGATGAAGATATGTGGCCGCAGGCATACGCCGGGCTTCTCGGGGTGTACTGCGCGTTGAAGGGAGGTCCACTGCAACACAACATAACGGTGGTGGGGCTGGGGGAATCCAACCCTTGTAGTAGAACCGAAGGTATGATTTGCCTCATTGTTATAGACTTATAGATACGCAAGCTTTGATATGTGGTAAACTATTAAAGGTTCCTTGAGTATCTGTAGCCTTCTAGACAAAGTGATGATATAGGTTGGTTAAAATTGATATAAATTCTTCTTGGTTTCTTTAAATTAAAAAAAATCCTTTGCAAAACATCACAGTTGACATAGACGAGGAGTACATCCTTCTCCTGAAACGGAGACAAGACGGCGCGTTTGCTCCTGACGACGTGAACACTCAGACAGCCGCCCTCCCGGCTACACAGGACAACCTGGACATGGTCGCTCTGACTTGTGGGCTGCAGAACTTCACGCTTCCGCTAGACGTCGCTGGAAACGCACCGGAACAGAGGGGTTGCCCCACCCATCCGAACGAGTCAGGAGAGCAGTGCGTGTCAGCTGGAGCCCCATCACACTTTGTGATGTCCACAACTTTGTCTCTGATGTGCGCTCTATTGACTTACGCATTCGGCCTCCTGTAGGTTGCTATGTAGAGTTGTGTGCAACATCTTAAAATATCAATGGGAATTTGTATGTAATGATTCACTTGAAAGATTCACAATGTACATAGACTTATTGCCCTGTATTTTACACCGTTCAATTTATTACAAAAAAAACCCATCAAAGCTTAATTGCATTAACATCCTACATTCCTTATGTACATGTAAACCTTGCTTCCATATTCTACGTTGCCTTTCGAACTTCCTGCATCTAATTTCTTGTTATTGTACCGTAAAAGACCTACTAGTAATATTGTCAGAGTTACCAAAGAAAATTGCTACATCTATGATGACAGTGCCTTGTTTGAAAATGTAGCCATCTGCTAGCATAAACTATGTCATTCTTAAAGTGATATATGACCACATGATTGACACTGTGCACCAAGTGGGATGGATTAAACACTTTAAATTTACAATACTCCAAGTGTAAAAGGGACTCTGATTTCATATCTAACTGTCTGGAATGTTAGACATAAGTAATTGATACAAGGAGGTTTAAGGATCCAGAGTTTTAGTTTCTTACAGAACTTGCCAAATATGAAAAAAAATTGTTTCGTAACATACAGTGTGACACGATGTACATCAAGGCTATATATGGGGGTCTGCATGGGGGAGAAGTGATTATGGATTACGCAAAATTTTCGCTGCCGATTACAAATTACGTTAAATTCTCAGAGTTGATAATAGGAACAATTACGCATTATGGCTAATGTACTGATTACGAATTACACTGATTTTGGGAGGCTGCCTACAGATTACAAAGACTAAAGAGGCCTGAGGCAAAAATACAATTCAGTGCCTTTAAAGCCAGAGTGTTAGGCCCAAGAACGGAAGTCAGTGGTGTCAAGAATTAGACGTCAGCTCACTTTTGTATCTAATTGTCTGGAATGTTAGACATAAGTAGTTGATGCACTAGCAGCAAAATGCAGAAAGATATTTCTTCTCAGTCTAGTCCTTACCCTAAGACAAATGTAAATAGAACACGCACAAAGAATTTAGTGAAAGAATAAAATGAATCCATCCCAAACTCCAAAAAAATACCAAAATAGATTATCTCTTACAAATAGCATTTTAAATATTTACAGCCACCAAAATGATTTTTTTTGCTTTACCACCTTCTTTTGATTAAGTTGTATAATTATCGATTTTGCCTTTTCACACATGATATAAATAACTTTTTGGTACCTGCCCTTAACCACCTTTTCTTTTGATTCCATGATAAATCCAAGAACAGTTTAGTCCATTGCACCCTTTCCTTCCTCTAAGAAATTGATTATAGAAAAAAAACTAATTTGTTGGTTGATTCACCTCTTTATTTTTTCTGATTTGCAAATGAAATGAAAAAAAAAAGATTCTGGTTCTGAATCAACTCAAAAATGCTCATATTTTGCCCCCAACAGTTGAGGAAAGTCCTTTTCTTCCTCGTTGTTACAGTTTTTCTATGCGGTGGTTTGATTAAAAGTTCAAAATTCATTGTTTAAATATAAAGTCCGCCTTTTGTGTTGACTTCAGGGCTCCTATCGTAGCATTTGGGGCTATAATACGATGCCTAGACCTGTTTTTATTTTTTTCGCCCTGTCGCTTCATGTTTTTTTCTGAAATCCGAGAACCAACAAATAAAATTTGTATGGCCTAAATGATTTTTCAAATCCAGTTACAGAGTCAGACCTAGACTTTATTCATCAGAATGTCTTCTGCCCTTTCTCTGCCTTCCTGCATGAAGTTTTTACTTTGCTCCAATGTCTGCTGCAATTTGCTGTCCAGGAAGTCAGCTGGTACATCTGGTGAACAGAAAAAAAACAGACAAACATGAGGTGTTGCACAGTTATACGTTCTTCTGACACATGCTCACCAATCTTCCTTTCTTATCTGCGACAGTATGCAAAGTTTAAAAAAGTTACACGAATGTAAACTGTTAAACAAGTCACAGTCCTGTACATGTATCTATTCATTTATTTAGGTAAAGGAAAGGATAGTTCCATAGCCTTGTTGTGGCCTAGGGCTCAGTGTTGGAAGGTGGCAGCTTAAAAGGTGGAGCACATCTCTCTCCTTCCACTGCCTTTTACCTCCCCAACCAAAGTCAGGGAGACAGGGACCCATTTTAAACCTGGATGGAGAGCACAATGTCTACCCAGCACTGCGACTTCTCAATCTTGTTAATTTACACCTTTACATGTATTTAAACACTGAATACAAGTTAGTACATATCCCACCTCGTCTTGGGCGGTCAAATTTCTGCATCCTCAGTTGGTTCACCAGTTCCTGCCCTTCTTCATCCAGCTCCACACTCTCCATGCTCTCCCGTAGGGTCTTGGCGGTGGCCCTCGTGCGCGTGTGCGACACTTTCACTGCGAACGTGTAGCGGGCTCCATCGAACGTGCCGGTCGGAGGCCGTGCGGAATGTGGAATGATGTTCTAGGATATAGAAAAGAAATTGTATGGATCTTGGCACATTGGCGACACTAAATCTGTTTATGTCCTCATCTGAGGCAGGACGCAGTATCAACGATTAGCCGAAAGGTTTGGTGGGCGTCACTCCACCGTACAGGGAAGGAAGTCCTGTTAAGTGCCTTTCCCAAGGGCACAACATCAGGCATGTCCGGGAATCGAACCCGTGACCCCTTGGTTCTGAGTCTCTCTGACCATTACACCACACCTCTCTTGGGAGAATAGTTTGACCTACTTGGTGATAGATATGGACAACATGTAAATAAAACAGTCCAAATATAATAACAGTTTTAATGTCAACAAACATTAACAACCTTCAACAAACATGAAAGACCTCACGGAAAAACAGAAGAACACAACACACCCTAAAAATGACGATCCTGCCATAGCGTGGCCGTACTGCGCCGACCATCTCGTACTGTTCACTCCCCGGTCCCAGGTTGCCGCCCCACACGTCGTCTTCAACTTGCTCCAAAAACACGGTCTCTCCGTACTTGTTTGACTGTGAAGAAAGGAGGTTTAGGGATCCAGAGCTTTAGTTTCTTACAGAACTTGCCAAATATGCAAAAAAAGATTGTTCATAACATACAGTGTAACATGGTGTACAACGAGGCTATAGGGGGGTCTGCATGGGGGAGTAGTGATTATGGATTATGCAAAATTTTCGCTGCCGATTACAAATTACGTTAAATTCTCAGAGCTGATTAGGAACAATTACGTGTTATGGCATGTAGTATCAGTCAGCACTGCCCTGAGGCTGAATACACTTAATACACAGGTCTGGAGACCATCAGGGAGAATGAGGGGGGTTGAGGCAAAAAACACAATTCAGTGCCTAAGTCAGAGTGTCAGTCAGTGGTGTCAAGAATTAAACGCCATCTCACTGCCCTAGCTATCCCAGGGGAAACACGTAGTAGTATTGCATACATGTAGTCTGTGCAAAGATGTGGAAGCATTACTGATTTAATACACAAGCATCATAAAAAAATGGGTTTTTCAAAACCTCAATTCCTTATAGCTGATACCGGGATAACTCTAGTGACACTGGTGGCAGCTGGCTATTTTACATCGAACGATTTGTTTGCACATCTAACTCTTTAGAAATATCATTTAAATTAAAGCTATCTACTGATGATGCCCCTACTGTACAGCAAGTTCCACTTTAGTTTAGGGCCCTAGGATAGTTCTAGCAAAAATTTTTTTTTGATATCTCAATCATTGGTTGATACTGGGATAACGTTGGTACTTGGACGCATTACGGAGGGGTAACTGTTTTCTTGTTCCTTTCATGACACTATTCTCTTCTGATCACAACCTAACAAACCAGTTTCTCCAACAGTAGGTTAAAAAAACCTTCAAAAGAATAAGACTTACGTCCCAGTCCTTGTTGAGGTACAACAGGAAGGTGTACTCGTATTCGTGTTGTTCGCAGTCCTCGTGGATCCTGGTGTAGTCCGCGCTGCGAATCACGTTCATCGACACATCGTACGGCCACCAGTCCGTCTTGTTGCTCACGTGTTCGGCGATTCGGCTGACGATATTCCACACCCTACTCTTCACAAAACTGTCCACCTGTTAAACACACAGTGGAGTTGTGTTAAGAAAGAAATTTCACATTAAATGACAGAGGATAATCGATCTTAAATTAGATTTAATTAATTACACTGACATACAACAAATAACATAGAACTTATGTTCTGGCTAATCTTAAACTCATGCCTGGTCATGCAAATTTCAAAATAAACTAAACACAAGTCAGTAGTCAAGTTAGTAGACATGTTTTAAAGGCTGAATGTGAACAAAAGATTTTATTTTTTTCTTGTCAGTCCCATTACTGTTGTTTTGATGCAGATTTCAGTTAAAAAGCTGTTTGACGTGACCATTTTTTTCTCTAAACAATTACTGACCATGCAAAACATTCTTTGAAAGGTGTGTCTTACATTCAACATTGTGATCCACTGGACGTTGTCATTGTCTTCTAGCAGCCCTGTGTCATGTGGCTGGAAGCGAAGATACTGGAACATGCTGTTTAGATAGGAGTGGAGGGCCTCCAGGTCTGTCTCTCCCATCACACCATCATACACCGCAATCACTCGCCCCTCACTGTCATAGAACCTGCAACAACAAGAACAAGACTGGTAATGAAAAAACATACATTGCCATGGCGATGGTGGTTGCTGTTAAAGGTTATTGTTTGCATGACACTACCATGATTTTGAGGGAGCCTTGATACCAGGAACCTGTAAAGTCTAGACAGATACAGTGCACTCCTCCCCTGAGTGTATAGTGAACAAGCCCCGGGGTCACAGAAAGTAGAGCATCCGGGGAAGACAGGTTTTCCCAGGGGTTTCCAAGAATGTGGGCATACATGTTTGTCAGAAAGCAGAGCTGGGAGACATTCCTGTGGACATTCCATGCCTGTGGACAAAATTCCTGTACAATTCCTAGAATTCTTGCAAACTACACACAATACCGGTACTGTACCATTAGGCTTCTCCCTGAAAAGTCGCCAAAAACAATCAAGAGTTAGACAGTAGGAAGTACACATGATAGTTTGTCAAATTATATGTAAATACACATGTAGTTCTAGAATTTCCAGGGTCAGTATAGTAATTTTTGATACGATGGTTTGTCAAAGCTTGAGAACAAAAGTAAGTTATTTAGTATTCCTTGTTCATTGTGAGGTTCCATTCAGTGCAACTGAAGTATGACTATACAATGTACATGTGGACTCTCTGTCACTGACTAAGTTACTCAACACCCCACAGAGTTTGCTACCTAAACACACTGCTGAATTCTTTGCCAAAGCTTCTATGTACAATGTACCTCTGCCCTTAAAGTTAAACAAATCCCCATGAAGATCACAAGTTTTCATCTCATTTGCGCTAAAGCTATTCTATGTATTATATGTGTAACACTATTACCGTGTATGAAAAAAACAACTTGAAAACACAATCTTTTTCATGTGTATTGCAAGACTCTTTTAACAGTTTGCGAAAAATTCAAAGAGGGAACACTAGAACTTCAAGTATAATCAGTGACAGAATTCTTGAGTAGCGATTCCTTACTTACCTTTTTGTCTGCAACTTATCCAAGTCCAAGTCTGCAACTTCCTTCTGTAATTTTTCTCCTTGGCTCAGGGCAAAGGGAACTTTCTCATTTTCATCACTCAGCAATTTGAACCCTTCCACCTTCTTCTGGTACTCCCCAAACTTTTCCTTGCTGGTTGTCATCTTCAGAGTTAAGGCATGTAGCAGTTGCTTGTATCCCATGGAGGGAGGGTGTTCGATAGCCGGCACGGCACAAGGCCATATCACCAGACGACCATGTTTTGGGTGTACAGCGGCCAAAGTTTCCGTAAGATTTCCATGTTTTCCATTATACAGCGTCAAGTGGCCGTAGTCGTTTTTACCGACGTATTGGTTGAGGTACATTTTCGCCACAAAGTCCCCTTCCTCGCAGTCAACTGTTGGCTGTAGCCTGTCGTATCTACGCAGGATTGTCCCGTGGATGTCGTAAGGATAGTATTCCCGTTTCCCCGTTAATTTCTCCATCGTGTCTGCGATTGCCTCCCATAACACAGTCTTCTTGACCATCTCTCCCGACAGCGGGGCTATGAAAGGGGGTTTCTTGAACATTTCTGGTGAGCTTGTGACGTGTGTGTACTCCCACTGGGTTAAGAAGGAGGTATACTCGAACAATGTAGACATGGCGTCATCTGACAGGACATGGTCCAGGACCACAACTGACTGTCCGTCGTCACCCTGAAATATCTTCTTCTCCATTTCCTCAAACTCCGTACAATGGACCGATAGAACTACCGATAACACTGCCAATACAAGAGTTCTCGCCATCTTTACTTCTAGGCTGGTCCTATCTGCCTAATCTTTAGAAGGAAAACAGGAAGAACCACTTTTATGAGACCAGATTTGCCACATGCCAGTCTTCTTGTCTGCAAGCAACCTGTGTAGCAACAAGAACATTTACCAATGAGAATAAATAATATGCCATATTATTAAAAACATACATACAGCAAAAATATAAAAGAGGCTCCCTTAGTCGCTGACACATACATGACGTTGCTGTTCAGCAAAACTCGTAATTTTCAATTTCTGGCTATTTTGTCCCATTTCAAAGCAAAAACGCCCGGGCCCGGCCGTAGATAAAACGTCATCGAATAAAACAACACCGTTGACAGTAACTTAGTGCTAAGTTGAGAGGGTACTTCTAAAGCACAATAGTTCGCAGAATTTGCAAAATCAAGTAGCTTCTTTGGAAAAAGGACAACTAGTTTATGTTACTGTCAGTTTTACTGTCAGTCACTGTTGTATACTGTCAGGGCCCGGGAGTGGTCTTGCCCCCGTTTAGTTTTTCCACGACACCGCTTCATATAATTCCATTAAGAAAATACCAAATAGTTTAGGAAGTTAGATCGCAGCGGCTTGGACAACTGAGCCTCTAAAGAACGCAGAGAACCACTGTGGCAGAGAACGAAGGAAAACGAGCAGTGAACGTACCTACGTTGTTGTCTGTCCAGTACTTCCGCCTTCCTTCTCCAAACTGGGGGCGTGACCGCAAGTCCCGGCATGCATTTCGGAGGGCACGTCTCTACAAAGGGTGTACAAAATCGGAAGACCGCTAGGGGGCGTGAACAACATAAAGATGATCTGCCAAGTTTCTGCACCAAGCAGATGTTTCGGTAGCCGCAAAATGCAGTATCAAATTGGCCAGGCAGTATTCATTGGCCATTGGATGCTGCCTTGCCACCGTATTATCTGCTTGGAGATTACACAAATAAGTTACATGTGTACTTGGCTACTACTTGCATTGAATTATTTAAGTCTAGCAAAAGGAGAACCCATGCAAAACTGGCTAACGTTACACCACTTGACTACCAGGCTAGAGAAATATGTTTAAATTCAAAAGAAATTTAGCTCAAAGTCTACAATCTTCAACATTACACATAGAACGAACATTGGAATGTTTACAGTAACTTGTATTTCTGGACAAGAAAAACAACAGAAAAACATGAACTTGTAATTCCCATTTTTAATGACCAATGTTGCCACTATCACCAGGCTGACCAGCTGACAATGTATCAATAATTCCAACATCAATGTACAAAAAGAAGAGCACTATTGTAATTTCTTGGATATGAACTGGTATAACAGTTTAATATTTAACCACCAAAAAGTTTCAATATTACAAAGTTGTATCATAATTTGAACAGAATCAGCACCATCTTTGCAGAGGCTGTCCTAAAATTACTTTGTCATTCAAAATTCTGATTCAGATTTTTCCTTTCATATTTTTCAAAGAGTCTTCTCAAGCAGTTTATAATACATATGAAAGGATACAGATTTCATAATGTGCTAGTCACCAAATTACCAGTTAACATCTTCACTGTGATAAATAAGCAATGATTGTCATAACAATCAGTAAATTATAGGACAAAAAACACATTCTGTCATTTGCAATAGTTAGCAAATAGATAGGACTACCATGATGCCAGTATTGAAAACTACTGTTACCAACAGACATCCACATAGAAAATATGGACTGCAAATTTGTGTAAAAAATAGTTAGTCTGCTTTTTCATGGGTTGCTGTGTTTAAATAACAGTTAATGAAGTCATGAAACGTGCCTTTACTACTAACTTTTATGTCTATCATATGCCTTGTTGTATCTAACAACAAATGTAACTAAGGTTTTGTATTCAATGGACAATTTGTACCAAAATATTCTAAAAAAGTGTAATAATCCCAAGGATGACTTGAATTTCTGTCAAATGTTAGTTTATAAAATGAAGTGGTGACATTACTTAACTTAACAGTGAAAAATTGGTTGCCTCCTAACTAGTAGGTCATTAACAAAATAAATCAAAGAAACAACACATTTAAGTAACGCGTCCAATTACATTCTTAATTGGTCATATTCATATAGGCAACAATTTATGAATTGGAAAACAGTATGTACAAAACAGTTAAGTGACAAGGCAAGACTTTTAATGTTACCATATGGTTCCCGGTAATTCTCAATACTGCAAACCTGTATACAGTATGCACCAGTTTAAAGTACAAATAGTTTTGGGTGACATCAAAATACGCATGTGTGTGATAGAAAAATTGTCATGGTTTGTTGGACAACCTTTCCGTATATTCCTTACTAGGCCAATAGTTTAGTTACAAGTACTTGGATATAGTTTAACTTATAGATCTGACATTACTAAACAGATGCTTGTACCACATGTAACATGGGTATCTATCTACCTAATGAAAATTCATTTTTATTGGCTGAAAACACCACAGTTACCTTATGTCCATTTCAACATATATCCTCATACAAACACCGGTCACTTTTACCTAAGTACTACTTTTCGACAATCAATATGATTTCAATTAACACATTCAAAATCCATTCGCCCAATTCCTTATGTACAATTGTCTTGTAAAATTTTCTCAAAACAATACAAAAATATGGAAATCGCTCACTTGTTCAATGATGTGATTCTACTTTACTTCAAAGTTTACCCCAAGTTTTTTTTTTCACAAACATTTTACTACTGTTCCATGTTTTTGAGTGCACTGGGAACACCCAGTAGCAAATACCATCTCCAGTCACCTCCAGAATTCATATCACATAATCTTTAATAAAAATTCATCTTAATCTACCACTTTTGCTCTTGCTAGGACTGAGATTCAGGTAAATATACATGTACTTTACTAGTACCACTGTTACTTTATCCTTTTGGAAAAACTTGTCCATTTGTTGGAAAATTGTCTCAAACACCTCAGCTATTTACACATTGAAATTTGCTTGTTGTCTCAGCTTAAATCCTTGCCCATCTTTCTAGTCATGAATTCACAGTACTTACAAGAATTGCAGTAAGCAACAAACTATAACATGTCAGACAAAATTCATTTGCCCTGCCCTTCTTGTTACTAAATTTGGCAGACTTGTTTGCTGACAAAGAATTCCTTTTGAGGGATCCAGCTCTTTTGGATTCGATTCAAAGCTTTTGAGGATGGCACTGTATTTTCCATAAGCATACTCAGTGACTGTATGGACAACAATGTATGAAAAAGTTGAAAACCATCCTCAGTAATAATTTGAATGAAATATCTAAATACGTGTGTACCTGAATAAACGCCAACTTAGGGTCATGGATTTTTTGGGGCCACAGTCTACATAATATTCCTTACAATCAACATGTGTTGTCTTATGAATGAAGGTAACAAATTTGAGTGAAAATTTCAGCAATGTATGAAGTAGCAGTACATATTTACTTGGAAAACACATCCCTACCCCCTACACAAATGTAGAAGTCTGACCAAGACCTCTACATGATGTGGGAAAGGCTGAAACCATTCTACAAGAGGGGTGGTCGATGCATCACTTGTTCCCAGAAAGATAGGTCTGCTCACTCCTCTTAGGTGGCGGTGGTGGCTTCTTCTTGACTGAAGGTTTGTTACTTGGCAGCCCTTCTAGGAACTCAGGAGGAGGGGGAGGGAGGTCAGGAGTTTTTGGAGTCACCGCTTGTTGTTGTTGTTGTTCAGCATCTGCAATCTTCTGCTGTTGTTTCTCCAGTGTCTTCCTCAGATCAGCTATCAGGGACAGGGCTGGTGTCGCCCGACCGGCGGCCTGAGGTTGTTGTTGTTGTTGTTGTTCCGCTGTCAGTTTTGTCTCTTGGCTTCGTTTCGGCGGTGGTGGAGGAGGTAGCTTCGTCTCGCGTTTTACCGTCCCTGACGTTGGCTTGGCAGCGACAGGAGGCGGCTGAGCCTGGGGAGGTACGATGCCCATGGGAAGGGAACCAGCGTGTTTCGGTGCTAACGGAGGCTGGGACCGCTGCGGCGGTAGGCTGGGGGTTCTCTGTACGCTAACCTGAACTATCGGCGGGTGAGGAGCGCCTTCTTTCGGAGGGGGCGGGGGAGGAGGAAGGTCCTGGAATCCGTCGCTTTTTCTTAAGGAGTTTCTCTGCTGTATGATTGCCGTGTTGATGATTGCCCTCTGTGGCTGTACGGTGGCTGCAGGGGAGGGGAGGGGACCGGCTGATGGAACACCAGTGGAGGGAGGTCGGCCAGTGCTGGGAACAGCAGCATGCAACATGGGCGTGGCTGTTCCACCTTGTGGTACATACGCCTTGGGTTTAGCCGACGGGGATGACTGCTTGATCATGGGTTCGTACACCTGGGGTGCCATGACTTCATAGACCTCCTGGGGGTCCTGTTGTTGTTGTTGTTGTTGTTGTAGATGGAAAGGTGGCGGGATGGGTGGTCTCTGGACTGACACCGAGTGGCTGGGCCCAACGGACCGAACTTGTTCCAGTTCTTTCATTAACGTGACCGCCTGTGTATGGAAGGACAAATGGTTTATAAGTCTGCTTGCACTACAACATTCCGTAATTCTAACTACTATCAAACATTAGCTTAGAAACCAAGATGTATTTATATTTCAGAAACACAAAACATGTTTTGCCACTAGTATGGAAGCAAATCACCCTTTCTCCCTCTCCACTCCATCTCTCAGGAGGACGTTCCACGCTGAAAACTTCCTTCTTAGAACTACATCACTACGGAACAAGCTTCCTCATGAATGCTTCCCAAATGGGTACAACCTTAAACTTTTCCAGTCTATGGTAAACAAACAGCTGTCTTTTAATACAGTCCTTTAACGTAACCCAAAACTTGAGTTTTTCATATGAGCCATGTTTTGAGGTGAAAATTGAAGTAAATAAAGAAAACCCTGCTGCCTAAACAATACCCAATACAAAGTGCTTCTAAAATGTTGACTGAAGAAGCAGAGGGTTAATAATCTGATAAATCACCTGATCTTTGGTAGAATGTGGGCGTGGCTGTCTGTCCCCACTGGTTTTTCTCCCAGAATCCCTTGGTGGCAGGCTTAAGCGCTGGTTCTCGCCCCAGCTGCCCGTACTGGAGATGGACAAGGTCGCTGACCTCCCGCCAGGGGACGTGGGCGACATCGGCTCCGACTGAAGGAAACATGGCACCACATTCATAACCAACATTTACACAGGCTTAACTGATAAAGTATGGCACAATGTTTGCAATGTGATACTGATACAGCTACTCTGAGGTATACTGTAAGTCCTGATTTTTTTCTCTGTACTTTTATATTCACATTTTACGTGGTCACTTCTGTACTGTGAACTTATCATTACCTTGAATAAATAAATCACTGACTGTCTTTTTTCTGCACCGCCACAGCGAACATACAGTTCCGCGAGCACCTGCATTTTTTTCAGACGGCAAACTTTTGCTACCATGAACTTACAGTAGTCTGATGTGGATTTGAAAAATATAGCACAGCATTTGTAATCAATTTTCACACAGCTACACCAAACTATGGCCTGCTACATATAAGGGTGAGACAAACCTTGGCCTGAATGACGTGCTGGGTTTCCCCTTTCTTCCATGCCTCTGAGAAGGCGTCCCCAACACTGCGCCTTCCTGTCTTCTGTTCACCGGAAAAACCTGCCAAGAAACAAACAACATCTAAAAAAGGTAAAATACACATGTATACTGTATCAAGAAAACTGACCAAACATGACTAATACAAGTAAAGGGCATTTTAGATCAGGTTCACCTTCAAAAAACTGTTCTAAAAAAACATCAACCCTTTTGAAAAATCAAAGCGTCCACCCATAGGATAGAGGCAAGTGGTGGGCTGCCATCAAGCCTCGGCATCAGAGTGCAAGCATGTCTAACCCTCGGAAGATGGGGAACAACAGACGCTAAGCCAAATAGTGAGTGAGTGGGTGTGCATGCCAAAGTACAAACTTGTATCATCATACTGCAGTACTGTCCTATGCTGATAGGTGGCGCTGTACCTTGGGAAGACAGAGTGGAGCTGCTGACACTGCTGCTAGAGCTCCCCGTGGACTGCAGACTGATGCTGGACCCCATGGCCGAGTCGTTGGTCGCCGAGCGCTGGATAGTCGCTGTCGTTCCGCTGGGCGGTAACGCTCGCGAGATGTCCTGCTGCATTTCCTGAAAGTTCTGGTACAACTGGTCTCCATACTGGGAACATGAAAAAAAACATCATTTTGAATTTTTTTCATAGTTGTTGGTAGAATACTGGCAACTTAAATGACACTGATGGCTACTACATACTTATTCTGTAATATCCAACTTTATCGCAGTACTTTTATGTTTGCGGTTTTCACAGTCACATAATATCTACCACATACTTACTACTGTTAACAAATACTTCACTGAGTTTCTTTTTTCTGCACCTGCTGTCACTGTGAACATACAGTTCCGTGAAAACCTCCAATTTTCTCAGATTGCAAACTTTTGCTACCACAAACAGAAAGTGCATTACAGTAGTATGCATCAAGGCATCATGATTCCAACACCTACATGTACTTAAACGTGAAGGAATATACATTTTGTACAAGAAAAATGGTAGATTCAGACCTTTGTTCTGAACACTCTACATACCTTAGCCATCCTGATACCCATGACCCAGTGCCACATGTCCCTGTCCTCCTCACAGCAGAAATATTTGATGTACTTGGACTTGGCCTGGATCTGAGGGTGCTAAAGAAGAAAAAAATATATAGCTCTAGATAAAAAAAGATGTTTCTAAAAAGAAGCATGACAGCAAATAAATGAAAACTGGTGTAATTTTTACAGCTCTTTTTACATCAATTTGGCAGGAAAAGATAAAAGCTATACGACCAAGAAAAGATAAGCCATCAAAGCTCTAACTTCCAGACAACAAAGACCCTTTGCGTCCCACCCCTGATTTTCAATGAAACAACCCGCATCTTACACTGATGGCAGAAGACAAGGGTCATAAGACTGTGCTAGAACAGGGGTGGTCAGGATATGTCGTGCTTGTGAGGGGAAAGACTGATAAGACATCAATAAGGAACAGGAAGATGAGAAATCGGCATTATCGCTGACATCCTTTAAAACCTACATGTGGTATCCTCTTAGGGACAGTAATAAACCATGGACATCCTGTCCTTAATTTGTTTGGATCTCAGATAAGAGCTCGCCATTGAAGTTTAGGACAAATTTGAGGGAAGGCAAGCTCATACAAAGGCAGCATATCCAACTTTCACAGAAACTAATCTCATTAAACATCTCATATGATCTGCACAAGAAACTGTTACTCAAGCAACTGGATAGGTTTTGAAAACTGTCAGATGTTCAAAAGAACATCCACTAGTTTTTATCAGTGACCTCATATGATCCATATTGTTGATTACATTCATCTTTACAAATTTGTAAACAAATAAAAACATATATGAGCATGGGATCTACATCTATAAAGCCCAGCTCTGACATATAAAACATAAGTCTTATACATTTTTTACCTTCAGTGCAAAGCAGAAGTCAGTTGGTGCCTTGTATTTCTTCTTGAAGTTGAGACCATAGTAGACGTTAACATGGTCAAACTGTACCAGGCAGGCCAGGTCTCGAGATGACTGTGGAGTTAAACACAGTTAGTAAGACATTACAAGCAATACCAGAAAAGCTCATAAAAGAATCCAGGAATACTTGGCATGTTTTTCTCTTTACTTTATCTATCATTTGATAGAATTTTGGTGTTCATGATGGACTAAGATTTTGCCCAATTTAAACAAACAAAAATTTGTGTGTAATGATATAAAAAAATGTTGTTCTTGATTCTGACCTTAGCTTTACCCTTGGGGTTGTAGTACAGTCCGGAGGCTCTGAGCATGAAGAAGTATTTCTTCCACGACTTCTTTCCATCTGACTTCAGGTACATGATTCCCTCCAACTCTGGGATACCCTTTCCAGAGGCAAGAAACTCCTGCAATAATCATATATGTAACACAAAAAAATGTTAAACTGTCTCCTGTTGCAAGTACAATATTGGGCAATTACCAGGAAGATGTTCTTCAACTGATGTTCTAAAAACCTATGCTATTTCTCATGTAAATTAGAAATGTGGTATCGTGTGGTGTAATAGTCAGAGCGGCCTGGAACCAAGAGGTCCCAGGTTTGATTCCCTGACATGCCCGACTTCACTCCCTTTACGGTGGAGTGATGCCCACCAGGCCTTTTGGCTATTCGTTGACACTGTGTCCAAACACTGATGAGGAAACCAACGGATTTGTTGTCGCCAATGTGCCAAGATCTGCACATTTGCCACTAAGAACCATATAAGACTATAAAATATAGCCAAGTATTTCAATACATGCACGACAAAACAGAAATGATTCAGACACACACAAACCTCTAGAAGCTGATCTTTGCCCTGTTGAGCCAGCTCCAAAGAGGCTTCAGACTCGGTCTCATCAATAAGGAAGAACTGTGGTTCCCTGAAGAACAGGTACTTGTCCCGTCTCTCCAGGAACAGCAGTTTGTTGTTGGTGTCTCGTGTCCAGTTCAGCAGCACCTGCACCAAGGGCTCATGGTCCTCTAGCACACGCTCTGGAACAGGGTAAAAAAAATCTGATTAGCTCTGTAAAAAAAAAAACATGTAATAATGATGAAGGAATTCTGGTTCACTGATGCAAGTATATCCAAGAGCCTGTATTAAAAATCACCATTTTCTCTTAACAGCAATACAAAATGTAATAACTGAAAGCAAAACCCAGAAACATTTACTGAAGCAACCGGATATGATTTTTATAATGGTCAGACGTTTCAGGTAGCATCCAATACCTTTTGTCAGCGACACTGGAGAGCTCTCGAATTCAACAGGTTTATAAAAACGAACTATTGATTGTTATGCAATTGAAGTGATGACAAATATTTCATAGTCAACAGTTTGTGCTATGTGGTGTAATACATAAAAGTTCAATCTTGTTTATTTACCCATGTAGAGGTCGGGTATCTGCTCCACGAGTGTCCAGTCAGGTCCAGGGTCGCAGTGGTTCTTGTCCACCAGCTGGACAATGACGTGGTAACACTTCATGGTCTCATCGACCAGCAGCGTCTTGGAGTTCCCGTCATCCATGAAGACTTTCACTACAAGCTGTAGAAGAGCAAAGAAGGACCGACTTGTGAGCATTAGTCTGCCAAACAACCTTTTACTATACATGAAAGTTAAAGTTAAAGAGCCTTCCCGCATCAAGTGACGCATAGGGCGGCGCCCATCTCCGTTTTCAATAACCCTGGGCCACACAAGTGCAATCACTACAGCAGGGGCTAAGCAGAGAAAGCAGTACATGTGTGTACCACATTTTAAGTCTTTGGTATGACTTGGCCGGGGATCGAACTCATGACCTATCGAATGCAAGGCAAGCACTCTATCTACTTGGCCATTGCACTATTTTTTACTATATGAGACTTGGACTTGAAAAAATGAATTTAAATACTAGATACAGTTGCATGTACCTCCTTTAGTCAATATTTACCATGTTAAAATCTAATTGTTAACATCTCTACAGCTTTGGCTATGGCTGAAGTTGAACAGTCCTATACAAAAATGAGTCTCTGTCACATAGGGCACATTGTACAAGTAGACTAGAACAGTCACTATAGATATAGAATACAGAGTTAACAATGAGCTTGTAATACAATTGTGCTCGTAATATCCCCAGCACAACTGTCAATTGCAACCGTAAGTTTTACACATCTCAATGTCAGTTTATTTGACTGCAACAATTGAAAATAATAGCATAATAAATAGCAATAATTCTAAGTCTTCTGTAATAATTCTCAAGAAAAGTATGCCAAGAAAACTGTTTTCGAAAAGAAAAGATTTTTTTTTGCTTCAGAAGCCAACCCTACATACACAGCAGAGTAGCTCAGATGGTTGTTATGAATAATTACAGGCTCAGTAGTTCAATCTAGGGAGTTCCACAGACTGATAAATGGGGTCATCTCTGAAGGTCAGCCACACATTTTAAGCCCCACATTCGGTACCAGGATTCCACCCAACCTTGTAATTACGACATGTCAGTACCTGTACATTTCCCATCAACTTTTATCCTAGTCTCTAAATATAAAGTCAAAATAGACATTCTAATTTCAGGAAACAAATGTTTGGAAAAAAAAGGCTGACATTCAACCTATTCCCTATTCCTATTTTAAATGCTGTTGATAAAGGCAAGGAAGTCATACTAATATCTTGCACAATATCAAAAAGTTCATTTATGCTACTATTACTATGATATGCGAAATTGATATAGAGTGACCTTAGCAGAAAAGTTTGAAAAGAACTGGTCTTCCCACAGAAATGACACAGTTTTCTAATGACAAAGATGTACTATAAACTGATCTCTTATGAAAGGGTGTGCTTCAATAATTGTAGGTAGATTTCCTAGGGGAGAGCCAAAATTATATCTCTAATCATATATGTACTCTTTAACGCATGATGGTTTATTTCATTATGCACCAAGTTTGGTATAATTAGGCTGTAATAATGGATGAGGTATATCCGTCTGATAAATATACATTTTGTACATTTAACAAAAGTGAGTGATAACTTGTCTTCCTTCTTTGTCTTTTGCTGCAATTATTTTCTGCTGAAAATGAAGTCAATTTTTTTTGTATTCCCAACATGAATGTAGAGTAAGTGCAAGAATTATACTTTTACAAAAATTCCACAAAGTAACACAAAAAATGACATTGCCATGTCAAATTTTTCCCTAAACACCCAAACTTTTTTTCATACCAGTAGAAAACATATTAGTGGAACTGAATAAGGTTTTAACATTTTTTATATCTCACATTTAGAATCAAAAGGTATATGCCACAAGATCAAATTCATGTGCCAAGCTCATGTATATGAATTTCTGTTAATAGGTGCGTTCAAATATTCATGGAATAATAATATTTTTCACTACAATCTAAATTTTTTGTGTTTTGAACGATGAGACAAATTGTGAGTTTCAAAATGTCTTTCATTATTTGTGTTATGGAATCCTGTCATACTGTTAAACTTGACTGAATGTCTAGTTCAAAATTTGTTTACTATTGTCCTTGACAATGGAACAACAGGAAACCATGATGTTCAAAATGTTCAATGTTCAATGTTCAAAACAAACTTTTAGTTCTAAGCTTTTTGGACATTATAACATACATGTACCTGGACCCAAGAAAATTAAATTCAGTTCTAAACTTCTGATGAACTGTCTAATTCCAAGGAAAAGGAAAATTCTTGATAGTATTTGCATCTCTGGGACAAACATTATACAAACCGCAAACTCAAACAAACTGAGATTGCTTCCATACTAACCAAATCATGTTCGGAACTGATTTTAGCTCTTTCAGATGATATTTGGACATTCATGATACGAATGCCATCAAGTTCGAAGCCTATTTTGGTCATAACAACCATGTCCACCTTTCTTTGTGATGTTAATGTAAGATATCAAATTATTTCCAGTGTACAATGTTTCATATATTCCCCTACACTTTCCTCAGTAAAGCAATTCTACTACAAGATTAATGCTAATGCTAGAAGATTGCTTTTAGATTTTGGACTGTGAAGTATTTTTTCAACACACAAGTGTACTCACTGTATTTGAACGCAATGACAACAACAGAAGAAGATTATAATATGAGAAATATACACTAACAATATCTTGCCATCTTACCTTCTGCACGCTTGCCTCCTTGATCTTCTCCAGAGCTATCCGAATTTTTTCTGCCTTTACTTTCTCTGCTTTTTGTTCCTGCAAGGTTTCGCAGAATTGACGCAAGGTTAGATAGAAAGCAGGTCCTCTCTCCAAGTATGGGCATCGGGGAAATGCTAATGCCGCTGGATGTTTTAAGCGTGGGATAAATATATTCATAAAACCATTAAATCCTATTCATGTGGTAATGTGACATGTCATGGTGCATTTTTTTTCTGGTGTGCAAAATATTATGATGCACATTGAGTATATGTGATACAAATTGTGTTAACAACATATACATTTACATCAGGAAACAATTATGGACACGATAACATTCAGTGCATGTGTGTGGGGGGGGGTATAATATAATTTTACAAAGTAACTACAGATATTCAAAATATGTGAGAAGGACACATAATTGGAGGTTATTGGATTATGTCTGGCATATCGGTTAGACTCCCAGTAGGGGGCAGTTAATGGATGGCTTAAATGCAAACGCTGCAGCAAGTCCTCTGGCAGCACTCTGTGTTATATGCACATATTATCCAACTATTATTATGACAACGCTCAAATATGTGTTAATCTGCTTTGTCTTAAAAAAAAGATACCAGTACCTGCAAAAAATAACTTTGATTTTCAGTTTGTAATGGATTTTTGTAGTTTTTGTGTGTCTAATATGGAACAATGCAGCACATGCACTTGCACACGAACCAATCTTTATGTAAATAATTTACCATTTGCAAAAACAAGTAGTCATTTCAGCACAAACAAAAATGGTACTGACATGTAGTGATACAAATCATGTTATATTCACAGACTAGAGCATTAACTAACACAAGAATTAACAATGTCCTTGTGTTGATTAAAAATTATGCACTGAAGAAAATTTGTTTTTCACAAACAATGCACAGAACAATGCACAAGACAGAAAAGAAGTACAGTACAACAAATAGGTTACGTGTGAAGCACAAAAGGTAATTAATTGTGTTATACGTACAGCAACAAATGTTGGGTGCTTAGTGATGTTAGCATTATGCGACGACTAGAAAGCAAGGAAAAAGATATCAATACATAATCTATATGACAAATTGAAGCAAATACTGTCATAAGATCATGTTTATATAAGATGGCAAACTTGCAAGTTGAATAATTTATATTCTGAAGTCTGGGAATAAAAATGTCATGTTGAAAAGCTAATGTTATGCCTCAATAAAATTAGACTTGCCACTTATTTGACATCATCCAGTGCTAGAGAAATAGAATCGAATGCATCTAAATGACATATTCCAAGAAACTATCCCACTTGGAATACTTCGTACTTGGATAAAATCAATTGGCAAGTTTTTGTGGAGAAAGTTTCCTTATTATCCCTGATGGCAAAAAGGTATAAATTGTATTTTTGGTATCCTTAAATTTTGATTTCTATACCTAAGACAGTTCCAGTGTAAAAGTTGTATCTAAGCTTACCTTACATTCAGTGCAGTTAGGCAAATTTCTAAGCCTATACCACAATTTCTAAGGGACTGTACGATATTTACCGGGGGGGGGAGGGCTGGTGCACTGGGGGGGAGGGCCATTGAAAAATTTTTTGGCCTGGGGGGAGGGCCATGGAAAAAAAATTTGAGCCGGGGGAGGCCATCGAAAAAAAAATCGGCCTGGGGGGGAGGGCCACCGAAAAACTTGTAAAATATGGCGTCGCGTAGTACCGAATAACAAGAAATACGCCGTAAATTCCCGAATATAGTACGCACTTTTTACATTTTTCAAAATCCCAGAAGTGTCTCGGGCCGTCGCCAAAGTCGCGGTGCGTCCTTTATTTGAGTTTTCCGCCAACAAATCCGTGGACGACCCAGGAATATAGCGGAACACCGGCACGGGGAGCTTGGAACATCGACCGTCTATAGCATGTTTAGATAAGAAAATAGACGTGTGGAAATAAAGTTAAACTTCAATAAATGAACATATTTACTGTGACTATCGTCGATATTGACACCAAGTTGCGGTAAAAGAAGAAGTCAAGTCACCCACGGTAAGAAAATGAAGGTCTCTGGCAATGACGCCCGGCGCTTTGTCATGCCGACAGGATCGTTCCCCAGCTAGCCGGCGCCGATCTCAGTGGAACCCGGCCGGCAAAAATATAACCTCCCGTAAGTACACATACAATTGTAGGGTTTATGAGTGGTAATATTTGAAATGGTCCGCAAGCCGTGAACGTTCTTGATCGTCGTAACGTAACATGTGATAACATAACAGTTGTGCCTCGACTGATGGTCATCATTTCCAATACACTTCCGGCTTGAGTTCAACTCAGGAATCTTCAACAAAGATTATGCCCATGTCGTTTCAAAGGTTCAGAAATTGTTAACCATGTTTCACTTCGTATCACAAATATTTTTAAATCTTGATAAATGCCACAGGAAATTACTTTGTAGCGGGCTATACCAGCCAGTACGACGTGAAAATTCCAGCTAGATGTACTCCTACTCGACTGTTCGGCAAGCTACAATGATAGGGGCGGAGTTAACTTAAAATGTAGTCTTTGATGAAATCTTACCGCCCGGCCGGTGGGTGGGGTGTTTGGCGCGCCGACAGGCAAAGTACACCTACAGCTGAAGAACACAGAGAGGGCCGTGGCATGCGCAGCGCCGAGGACAGCTTTCTAGTACATGGACCCGAGAAGGAAGTCTTTCTTTCCTCTGAACAGACTGTACTTATAAGTTTTACGGAGTACAAATTAATACATGTGTTTATTCCTTTGATTTTGTGACAAAAACATCTATCACATAACGAGAGATTACTTGAAACGCAGTCAAACTTGTCACTTTCTCCTGTTCGGAATCGCAAGTCCCATTGATCCCAGTAGTCTTTTGTTGTTGTGTTAATTGGTTTCGGTGTCAAATTCTAAATTCGGTAGCACCTCTACACCCAAATACTCCGCCCAGTTCTCCGCCTGTATGATTGTTGCTCTCCATGGGTCGATCGGGCGGGCGCTATTAAAGAGTGTTCGGCGCATTTCGTATTGAAAACATTGAAGCTACGTACTTGTGCATCAACATTCAACTACCCCCCGTTACCGATAAAATCAACATTGAAATATTGTCTTTTTTTCACGAATCTTTATTGACCATTGCTTGCTTGATCACCAACACTCCAAAGCTGGATCCAAATCTGTGCGTTCCGCCGCACTTGCCTTACCTTTCGATGCGGTGGTGACGTCTTGCAAGTTGGCTGCGGCCGGCGGTGAAAACAAGCCCGAACATGGAACGTTTCCCGCTACAATCACGAAGTACACGGCATAAATCTAGTTTTTAACAATTTTAAATTTGTTTGGAACGACGAACTGTCTTTAAGACATACATACTACATGTTCACTGTGGTACCGGCCGTGCGTAGAAGGGGTGCGTACTTAATTCGAGTTTTTCCATTTTACGTTTAAGACGGGAATATTTGTCTCCCACCAGCCCCAAATCGGGGGTGCGTACTTCATTCGGGAATTTACGGAGGGAGAAAGAGACATGGACTGGAAAAATGGGGGGGAGGGCCACCGAAAAATTTTTTGGGGTGGGGGAGGGCCATTGAAAAAAATTTGAGCCGGGGGGAGGGCCATTGAAAAAATTTTGAGCCGGGGGAGGGCCATGGAAAAATTTTTTTACCGGACCATTTTGCACCAGCCCTCCCCCCCCGGTAAATATCGTACAGTCCCTAAGCCTATACCACAAAGGTGTTTCAGTTCACAATACACTACAACATGTTATTGGTATTAGAAAACCAAAAAACTATCAAACAAAATTGTTCAGCAGCTCGAGAGCAGCACTTCTAAAAACAAAACAGATTTAAAAAACGCTACACAACTGTACGAAAATAAGACAGGAACAACACGACATTATGTACCTCTGTCAGAGTGGCGGGCGGGCGGCACTCTATGGATTGGATGATTTTGGAGGCTTCCCTGTCCATCAATTTCAGCTAGCCACAGAAAAGAGAGACAAGCAAAGTGCAATAACCATATATAGGACAGGAGAAACACAGGGCTTCAGTGGGAGCTGTTTTATTGACAAAATTTACTATTTTGAATATTGTTGCCTTTACTGAGGTCATTTTTGTCACAATTGTTATCTTTGTGAACAGAAAATGTACTGGATTATGGATAATTTTCATGTATAATTTTTCTTGTGTTATTCAAAATAGGGAGAGAAGAACTGGCTGACTTTTGATGCCATTCCCCTCGCAGCTTCCTTTAAAATTGCAGAGATCAATCCTTGGAGGAAATTTGGCAAATGTTGACAATCGCTTTTAAATTTTCATAAAAACTGTTTCCAGAATAGTGTTGCAGTCTTGCAGACTGTTAAATTTTCCATAATTTTCTGCATTATGTAGCTTGTGCATATGCTGTCACAATTTCAATAAAAGCAACTGCATATCAATATATCATATTAAAATTCAAGACCTACAGAGACTGTGTGATTTTCCTTTGCTTATGATAGAAATAGAAGAGGAAAAATATTTACCTAATCCCCCTTAGATTTTGGGTGAATTGTGTATTTTTTTGTGCAAATACACCAGATCTACACGTATAGCTATACAAAGGCATTATTCTTTGTCTCAAGCACTGTGCTTTGAGTTTGACTTCCTTACAAAACGTAGCTCCCACGGAAGCCTGTGAAAAAGCATGCTACAGAAAGGGTGCTCGGAAGTCCACCACGTGACCATGCCATATGGAATAGTGCAGCAAACCAAGCAAAGTGGAAACCATTGCACAGCTGAAATATATGGCATTTCTGAATACATGGAAATCATCGGAATGTAAAAGTTTGGCAAACTTCAATTTATGAAATGAGGACTTCAAGATACAAATGAGAGAATGAAAGACAAAAAAGCAGTGGATTGAAGACCAGTGTAGTGTGTACGACTTAACTAAATGAATTTGTACAAGTGTGTACTATGCATGAGTGACACCACCCAACAAGCCAACTTCTGTCTACATTTCCATATAACTTGATGCAAGATATCATATTCTATGACTTCTCTGATGACAGCATTGATAGCAAAATTGATTTTTGCAAGCACAAAAAATCAATGATCAATACGTATACTTTCATCAGCAAACTGACATTTTATGGCCATATGAACATATCTAGTACAAAGATTTATAAATGCAAACAGTATTGAGATACATGTACATGTATATTTAGAGGAATGCACCTGGTATCATCAAAACATCACATTTAAATTGGTCATGTAATAAGAAGTTGACTTGTCAATATGGAGTCATGTACAAAGTTTCTGTACATATGGTATGGCAAGGAGTAAACATACAAGCGTGTGATGTAGAGTGTAATATGGTGAAGAAAACATTGAAACATGGCACTTTCCACCCTACCTCAGTGAGCTGTTCAACTGTGTCCAGTTCATCCTTCAGGCTGTCCAAACGATGTTTCACGCTTCCCGACAACTGAGAAGAAAATGGAGGATTTAAACGTCAAGATGAGAAATAGTCTACAACAAGACTGACAAATGTCTCAACTCTATTGTGCCAGATATTTTGAATTCTTTAAACTCATAACAGAAAGGCGCAATAAGAAGAACAGGCCAACTGATTTTATAGAACAATGTGGTTACATGTACTGCTCAGATGGGGTCTGGTTATTCAATTTCTGAATCAATATTTAAAAGACTTCAAGTGTCATCTATACCTGCAGCTACAAGGGAATGACAGCAGGCCAGTGACCACTTTACTAATGGTATAGAGGCTGGGTGGTCAATACACAAGGTCATGGTAAATTACACATAGGATTTTCCACAGAACAGACAAATTGGACAGAGTCTTAGGGAAATACTAGGTAATACAGACAAGTTTCAGTGGTATTCAGATGGAATACTGAATTATTACCTCTTTGCAATTTAATACAAGAACATGTTTTGCTAAAAAAAAGGCCCTTTGATACAAAATGCGACTTTTCTTTCGGTAAATTTTACCTTGTTCAGCACCATGGACAGTTGCCATACTTTTCAAGTCAATTTATTTTTTTGTCAAAGCAGCATTACCCGTGCAATTAGGAATGAAACAATGTCATGTAATTTGGAAGAGAACAATAAAGCTTTTCATATTATTTTAGTATATGAAATTGTGCTGTGCATAATATAATGACAGACAAAAAGACTGACACTTTTCTTCATTTTCCCAGGAAATGAATCAAATTTTGTATCAGCTTTATAGCTTATATGTCTAATTCTTCATTTTTCCAAACCTTGCGTTATTAAGTCTAAGTGTCCTTGTCTTTGACAAGGAAAACTGAAAAATCTCATGCATTTTGTAATAAATAGATATATAAGAAAATATCCGTTACAGATTGTAATGTTGTTTTGAGATGGCCCCTTCCTGTGGGGCATTATAAGACACACTCTGGCCAGCCGATTTACACCTTTCCTCCAGCACAGATGGTTTTTACAGATATCTTATTGATGTACGGTCTGAGAAATCAATTCCAGAGCCTTAAGGGTCATACAGTTTCTCCCCAGTGTCTTAAGGAAATGGCAAAGGGATTTTCTACTTTCCTTCTTAATCACATATCTTTGACATCATTTTTGAGACCTGAGAGACCATTGAGAAGTGACGAGAATACAAATATGAATGTGCTACAATCCTACTTGTACATATTGTGGTGGAAAACAGCTCCACCTATCCACAAATCCTATATTGCAACAACCATCTATGGCTCTCACTACCATATGTGGAAGATAATGATGATAATGATTATAGCTTTTACTTTGAAAACTGATGGATCCATGTATGTACTAGGTTACTGTTAATGGTTATCAGGGGTATGTATGGGGTTTAATTATGACTCATTTGATCAAAAACAAAGGTTACTTACAGGACTAAGAGGCCCTTTCTTCAAAGAACTGTCCTCTTCCTCCGTGAAGGCGGAATCTTCGCTCCTGATGCTCAGTACCTTCTGCGGCGGTCGCGGCGGCCTCGTCGTGACCCCTGCGCCCTCCTGCGTAACCCCGACCTCCAGCTGCGACAACAAATCGTCCAGCTTTGCGTCCGGATCGCTCTCTTCGCTTTCTGTCCTTTGCTGTACCTGTGACGGTTCCACTCTCTGTTGGGTAAGAATAGCACTTTGAGCAGCAGGCAGTTGTGGTGGCGCTATCCTCCCAGGCTCCGCGACGCTCACACCCTCAAGTCTGTCTGTTACGCTCCCGTTTGCAACGGCCATTTTCACGTCTTTGGTTACGACAGTCTGGTGTACTTCTGTGATAGTAGAACTAACTTGCTGTTGTTGTTGTTGTTGTTGTTGTTGTTGTACGACCTTTGTTGGTGGTTTGGGAGGGGTTGTAGGTTGTGTAGTACCCATAGTGTCGCTGAGGTCTTGCTGTATCGCGCACAGGTCCCCGAGTAAGGCATCGAGTTCGGTGTCACCAGTCGCTAGAACACAAGCAGATCACTGCAAGGTCAGTGCAAGGTCACACAAAATACAGACCACTGCAAGGTCATACAAAATACAGTCGCCTGCAGTAAAGCTTTGATTATTCCAGTGATATCCTTTTTTTATAAAATACAAGAAGTTGCAAAGAATGCATTGAAACAAGAGGTATCAAAAAAAGAAACAATTGAACTAACTGAAGCCTACATTCATAAACTTAGTTGCCTAATTCTTGTATTACGTACGTCTGTACTTTTTGTGGGTCAGCCGTTACAAACTTAGCTCTACGTGTGCTGACCCTTGTAATGATTTGTTTCATTGCCAATAAATACAAATAATCATCACACAATTATTACATGAAAAACATTTTTGTATCAAATTATGCTTGCACTGTGTTGTTGTCAGACATGCTGACAAAACATATAGAAGTCCAGCCCCTTTGCGTGTCAGAATTACTTGACCTGAAAGCGACATTACTACCTTTGGGACGGCAAGCTTTTACTATGATTTCCCATTTGATCCAATAGGTTTCATATCAGATGTAATCACGTAAGCAGAAAATGGAAAAAGTATCAAATTTGCACAAAACTGGGGCAGGGTTAGATGCCAAAGGGGATTTCGCCACTCTCTCCTTCCTGACCAATCCTGGATCAATTTAGTTCCTGATGGAATCAGAGACGTTCCCTGATTGAATAAGAAAGCCATAAAAGGCAATCTGTGGGCAGAGATGGGAATCTCAGACATCAACTGCTGTCAATCAAATCCTATTAATTAAATCAAAATAGAAAAGCCGGTAATATCTGTACATCGGAGACCCCTGAAAGTGGTGTGATGATCACACTATAAAGAGTTACAAATTCCCCGGGTTGACATTCATGCTTTTATTGCCGTAAAAGATGATGAAGAATGATTTGATTTTATAAGCATTCAGCAAATAAACAAGGTATAAAGGAATCAGCAGTCATTTTTGTAGATGCCGTTTGGAAAGTACTTTCCTCTTAGGTACCTTAAAAGTATCAGTTAATTGAAAAGGCTACTTCTAAATGAATATTTTTTCTTTACAGGACATGGGTTGCAACTGATTAAGTGTTGTGGCTCTGGGTTTGTGACTTATTGAAAAATGATTTACTAAAAGTCTTACATTTTGATCCATTTCTCAGATTTTTCTTCTGAATCAAATTTAATAAACCAAATCACGAAAGGACACAGTAATTACATATTTCTTCACGGTACTTTTATGCTCACAGTTTTCATGGTCACTTCTGTACCGCAAACTTATCATTACCGCTAACAAATAAATCGGTTTCTTTTTTCTGTACCTGCTGCCACCGTAAAAATATAGTTCCGTGAACACCTCCATTTCTTCTCAGACAGCGAAATTTTGCTACGATGAACAGAAAGTGAATACAGTAGTCAGGTAAACCTCCTTGTAAATATATAGTGTTGGACTTACTTTCCAGGTTAATGGTTGAAAATCTCCAGTTGTCCATGTGCTTGGGTTTGGGGGGAGCAGGAGGGGGAGGGGACTTGGGTTTTGCCTCCATGGATGTGGACACATCTAACGACTGCAACAACAACAAAGAGATGTCATTTAACTATGGTTAGTCCACCATCAAAATTTGCCCCATATAGTGTTTCAGAGGGTCAAGATTTCAAAATTTTCTCCCAGAAATTAGAAGTACAGGCCTGTAGCAATTATAAGATACGTAGATATATGTAAAATGCCATATTCTTTGCATTCACGTTTTCTAAAATTTGTGTTAAACTTTGCAATTCAACTGTCTGTGAAACCAAAAAATGATTTGAACCTGGTAAAAGTGATCCATGGGCTAAGCAGTGAGGGCAGTGGGCCACATGGCATTCTGCCAGGGTAGAACAGATATGATATGAATACAGGATTTCTGAAGGAGAGTTTATGGACTAACAGTGGGTTCTGTTCTTCTTTTTGTACATCAAGGGATCCAAAAATCTCTGGGATGGACATCAATTTCTCAGAATATAGTTGTGTCAGTAATTTTTCTTGCTTCAAAAGTATAATAGAGGCAATGCAAGCAAGGACATTGATGCAAGGCAAATTTATTCCTATTTATTCAAAATTTATTAAGAAATCCCACAGTCCATGCTGATTTTTTTTTAAAAAGTCAAATTTGAACTGTCACAAATGTTTAAGATGTACATTGTACCATAATTCTTTTTCCATAAACTTTGATAAAGGCATTGAATATTGGCTCATACATTGTGTACATGTTGTTGGTAATTGCTCTCAGACAGTTTTACATTGATGGACTACAACTACATCCCACTCACCTTCGTCATTTTGTCCAGCTCCCCCAACCAATCCGAGAACATCTTGTCCAGATCCCCCTCATGGTCCGAGTCCGGTTCCGCGTCCATCTCGTCCCCGGACAGCGTATCGGGATCGCTCGCTACTTCTGGTTCAAGCCTGCAGTAAAAAAAACAGACAACAACACTTAGAATCTCTCCTCTGTTATGCCTACAAATCTTCTGTGTGACACCGTATCTTTGAAAATGAATCTTTTCTCTGAGGTTCAACGTCAGTCAAGGCGGGGCATATCCTGACAAGGCCATGGTTACCGTCAGGAGTGGGATCTGTGCTGTAATCCAGTAGCTTTAGACACCAGATGGTCCCCGGCTCTGCAGTTGACCGGCTGACTGAAACTGTCGGCTCTGTCGGTCACTGATAACGATGACAGAGGACCTGGAAATCCTTCCAAGAATCAGACTACAAGCGCAGCATACATGCGGGTGCTTGAAACATTTGCAAGGCAAAACATTTTTTTTTATACCAAAGAATAAATTTCGCAGCTGCCTTTAAGACAAGAGGACTACAAAGCTGTATGATGCACCACACATCATAAGGTCATCTCAGTGCACAACCAGGCCAAAGATTATACACAAATTGGTGAAAACTGCCCAATTTCAAGTCAATGGGCCCCCAACTTGCACAAACCTTTCACAGCAGACCTAATGAAGGTATAGTGTCCCAATAGGCAGATAGGTGATGTCCAGGCACTAGACAAATTAGAGGCACAAGATACTAGATGCTCTGACATACAGTCAATACTGATTCAACCATTCTTACTTTACCATTATACACTATAATACACGGTACAAACAAGACTAAGTCTAAAAGTATTAACACAGGCTGAATGGTCCTATACCTTTTGCTTTAAACAGCAGACAGCTTACAAAGAAATAGGAGATACAAAGAGCGTCTTACACGAGAAGCCGAGCGCTAATCAATATATTTTATCGACCACAAGCCAAGCCGTTAAGCCTACCATTAGAAATCTGTCAGATACAAAAAACAGCTACGAGCAAGTTGTCAAAGTATAACTACTTCAGAACTGGAGTCATTATTAACAGATACTTGTTAAAAGGTGAAGGTAATGCAAGTTTATATACTAGTGATTATGAAGCATGTTTCTGACATTTAAAGTATAGGCTAAGACTTTGAACTGACTGTTGGACCATTATGTGATTGATGTCAGTTGATAGCCTTTCATTAGTAGTTATCTCTACTGATGGCTTATAAATATGAATGCTGCAATAAATACTGAAGATAAAGTCTGCTTCATGATGAAAAAACTGCCACAGAAGATGGATGGTCTTAGCTAGGGGTGCTAGCCGTATGGCAAGTTTATGACTTGAGCTCTGACAACTGTTGATGATGATCACTTTCAAACCAGAGGTTTAGGCTAGGGTTATTTTTACCATATATCTAGATGTTTTATTCTTTTTTGTACTGGTTTCTTTTTTTACACCAGCCAAACAATGAATGAATACCTTGTGAATTTGAAAAGTTCTCTTGCCAATTTGATACCGGATACCGTCTTGCAGCCAAGATCTACTTAGAGATTAGAAAGGTATGCCATAAGTAAATTCAACATAATGGAGGCATGCCTATCTTACACTTTGTAGGTTTTGTAACTTTGTAGGTTTCGTAACTTTCAAGTGTTTTAAAATGAATACGAGCCAACAGATAATATTTTGCTGGAATCTATCAGCTTTTCTTTTCCAAGACATTGGCATTAGCCTTGAAATCAAAAGTGGCAAAGAAAATGTGCGTTGATTGAAAACATCAGGATTTACATACATGAATGCAACAATGTTCCTAGCGTAAAATCACCATTCCTGATTCTGATTTTGTTCAGTAGCCCTTATGATAAAACATGATTGAGTGAATTAACGCAATCACAATATGCACTGAAGGGTTACGAGCAACAAGCATGCAGGTACCATATGGTGGTCTCAGTGTGAGTACTTTTACATTACAGTTACACAACTCTAACACATAACTCTTATAATATAATTCTATGCCCAGCAAGTTAAGTTTGAATGACATACAAATTGTACAAGCAAAGCACTTAAATTTATATAAGTCTTAGAAGTCAATCTTTAACTTCAAAAAATTAATATTGAGATACATGTATGTACTCACTATAACAATCATGCTAATCAAATAAGAGATTAGCCAGGCCAAAAAAAAGTTTAAAGTAATTTTTGAGCCATGTTGTATATAGTGAGACATAACTAAAACAGTTACGTAGATATAAAAACACTCTAAATCAAACATTTGAGAATTGTACTTCATGAAATTTTGTGTCACAAATTTAATGAGCATTCTTTAGTTTGTAGCTATAAAAATGAAAGAAGTTTAGAATTTTCAAAAATCCTAGACAAATGGTACATGACTGTCAGACACAGGGTTTCCTTTCAATCAGAGTTCATGTCACATGACCAACAGTTGAATGCCATTACATTAGATGATGTCACCTTTTGATGGATGTAGGGATGATCTGGAGGAGGACAAATTGGATGCTGCCCTGACATGTCCTCCATACATGATGAGGTGACAGAGGATAACATGGACAACACTGCATGCTTCATTAGTTGGCTACTAGACCTTCACAGAATACTGACCTAAACTGACATAATATCATATTATGTCAGTTTAGGTTTAGTATTTGCAAGACATAAGGTAGACAGATATATGTTTGGTCAAACCTTTGCTTAGATGGGGACAATTATTACAGAATCACATATTGCTGACAAAAAGTGGGGGCATTTCAATTGATGTACAAGTCAACTGGTACTGTAAATCACTTCATGTTCATGGTAGCAAAAGTTTGCGGCCTGAGAAAAATGGAGGTGTTCATGGAACTACTGTATAATTATGTTCATGGTAGCAGCTGGTGCAGAAAAAAGAAAGTCAGTGAATTATTACAGATTTAATTCTGAAGTGACTGCAAAAACCATGAACATAAAAGTAACGTGAAAAAATCAGGAATTACAGTAAAAACAATGGCAATGCCGTCAGACAAACTTTGACCACTTCACTAGCATTTCTAAACTCTCGGTTTACCCACCCCAAAGACTTTGGTGAAAGACACTCGGCATATCCATGACCAGCGGTGCTCTAATTAGATTGCTAAGCTCCCTGGCTTCATGTGAGATTTACAAAGAAGATATAAGTGAAGTCTTGGATCAGCACCAGGAGAGGGCATTAGCTAAACGAGTTGTCTGGGGGATGGGTGTCTACGTGAGACACGGTTGGTGAAAATGTGACGTCGTTACCAATAGAGCGGTATTCAGGAATGACGAGAACGGCGTCAGGGTTTCCGCGCAAAAGTTGTCAAAAACGATTTCTTGCTGGAGAAATTAGATGATGATCGGAAAGTCGTCTCGAATCTGAGCGAACTGTCGTGTACCTAAATCCCATAATCCTCTCTGTCTGACTGAACTCCTCTCTAATGTCCTTCAAACTTGATTTCCTGAAGGTCATGCATTGACTTTGACCTGTTCTTTTACACCCCAAAAAATAGCAATCCTTTCTATTGACAGGCAGTGATTCACATACAAACTTGCACCCAACAAGAAGTTGCTATAAAAAAAGTCTGAGCTGTGAATGCTTCCATAATGACAGAATTGTTACCATTATATGTACAGTAACCCCTCTTTTCAAATTAATGATTATGTCTATGTCCAAGCATTCTTAAAATGAGCATGTTTTGTAAAAAAAAGCTAGTGCTATTTTTTTACTCTTGCAACGGATTTTGGATTTCCAGACGACGTCATTCGCAAAATCAGGCTTGTACGAGTCGCCTAACATCTCCAATCAAGAGTAGCCAGAAAAGGACGGCGTTCCGTCATGGAGGGAAGACCTGGATAATGTAATTACCTCACAACACAGAAAAACACTCCTCGGCCAATCTAATAAGTGCTGTGGGCACGTTCACTTTGAGAAGCACAAAACGGGCGAGGGGTTTTACATGCCCAACATTACGACTGAGGATTTTACCTACTGCAATTATAATAGGCACATGTCATCTTAAAGTCTTGATGATGATGAATTAATTCGTTACTTTATAGCTAAACAAAAGTTCATCAATTTTCCTTTAAGTTTCAATCTTTCAAACAAAAAAACGAACTTCCACATTGGAAGTGCAGAAAGGCTGATGTTTTGAAGTAGAAATAATAAGTGCTGTGGGCATTATGACTGAGGATCTTATATACCTTCAATTATGACTTTACACTGATTGGCTCATGTCATCTTCAAGTATAGATAATGACGAATTAATTTGTTACTTTTTAGCTTAACAAAAGTTCATTAATGAATGAATAAGATAAATAAATAAATAAATAAATTTTCCTTTAAGTTTCAGTCTTTCCAACAACAAAACAAACTTCCACATTGGGAGTGTAGAAAGGATGATGTTTTGAAGTAGAAATTTCCAAAGCCATTCTTTTCAACTGAAGTCATCACTACTGTATATCACAACATAATGACGCAAAATGACCCAAAAATGTCACATATTTTGAAATCACCGACTCATTTTGCTGCAGGCCTGGCTTCTAAAAAACATATTTCACATTGCAAACATGAGCCGTAAATCAATTCCTTTCCGATGACTTCATCTCGAAGATAAAAAGACTGTCACAGAAATATAATCCTTGATTTTTCTGACTCATCATAATCAGAATGGCCATCATTGTATGTCATCAAAGAGATTTGTAGCTAGCTAACTCACCCTAATCACTCAAGGAGACCAAAGGTCGAATTTCACCATGTTATGAAAGATTTTCCTTGAATTGAAAAGTATAATACACCAGAAGGGGGCAACCAAAGACCTCAAGGATAGAATATGTTACTTTTTAATTCATGTACCTTATTGAATGGTTATAAATTGAAATGGAATCTCTCATAGCTGATTCAACTGATGCCGAAGGGAAGGTATAATGTTTTCTTCGCATGAACAAAATCGTACTTCCTGGTTTCCAGTTACAAAGTATCAACAGATAATGACATCTACTCAAAAGATACCGGTATCCAAGTCGATGTTAATATTTCCGTCTGTTTAAAACACAAACAAGCTTTTGCGTATCATTTTTTTTGAGAGATGTACATGTATCATTAGGAAGTAATTGTATTTCCAGATAATTAGAGTACTGGCCAGGAATTTTAATGACGTTATAGAGATATCAGACTGGGTCATCTCAGATAACATGTTCTATGATGTGTCACTCATTTCAATGATCTAATAATAGTCCACGTTACAGATACACATACCCAATACTCATCGGTATCAAATTATATGTAGCATAACATAAAAAAATAGGTTTATCTTTAACATTAAGATTAGAATTAAAGGAACTGATCTATCTTACTTTTTTAGTATCTAAGTCTTGCACTAAGTTGCAGCATTCTCTCACTACACATTAGTATATTATGTATAGTACCATTCTCCAAATGATTAAAGTGTTCTCTCTGATAAATTGTACACTACAAGGCCTAAACTTTCCTTCTTGTTGTGAGCAACAAATACAAAACAATTGTACATTTCTGCATGCTGCAGTTGACTCTGAGTTCTGCAAACTCCACTAGACTGCTGCAGGCACTAAACTCTGAAATCTAGAAGGAAAACTACCACGTTAGTCCATGCTGGCACTCCAGTCTGCGTGTTAGTGTGGCCTCCGGTTTTCCAGCTGGCATTCTCGTCCTGAACTTACCGCCATCGTACCCGCTTTTTTACCTTCCCCGCCGCTCGCGCCTGGTCCACGGTCATTCCGCGGTTGCGGAGGCTTGACCTCGGTTTCCTCAGTCCTCCCTTCATACTAGGAGACGGGGACAAGGGAGTGTGAAACATGGGGATAAAGTGTACGGGGAAAATGCTACGGGGATAACTCAGATGTACGTACTAGATGGAGGAATGCTGGCACTCTGACAACAGGCAACAATAACACCAGACTGTAGCCACAAGCCTCCGTGTGCTAAGTGTCAATATCATACTTGGGTGTTACAGTACGGCAGGTTAGAGAGACCGGTCCATTTCTGAGAAGAACACATGCCAAGATTCCGGTATAGAAAAGCCAAGCAGAGTAAAGGAAAGGGAAGTCAAAGTACAAAATTACTCATGCTCAGTCTACTTTACCTAGTATATGTATAGTGAGTAATGTTGATAATCAAAATACAAAGAACTTTGTCTGGACTTTGTTTGGAAAAAGTTGGGAGAGGAACTTGTTATGCTCTAGCTTCTCTATGGACTATGAGAAGAGGGTTCACAAGCATGCTTAGAATTACTAAATAGGTTAAAGTTTCTTTCTTTCTTCAAGCAGATATCTTACGAAGAGTTTGAAAATATTTCTAAGGTAAGGGTTATTGTTAAAAACATGACATATAGGTCCTGTCCTCCCTTCATACGGACAGAATGGCGTAGCCCGTAACCTACTGACTACACACAACAGTCGACACTTGGCTGTTATGTCGGCCAGATTGTATGGTGTGCCAGGAATGGCCATACAAGGGGGGGGAAATACACATGCCTTACTTCATGCTTCCTCTGCATCAGTCTAGAACTAGAACGAAGCTTGTTTAGAAGTTAGTAATTAAAACATAAACTTCACCTAAACAATCATCTCAGAGCATACAAACAATCATAGGTATCAAAGACTCATTCTAAATCTTACTGTACTAATGTGAAATGCATTACCTAACATACTAATGCAATAATATCGACATAACTTTACAACAAGACATGAAAACTTAACATAAATGATGACATAAATGATGAATACAACAAGAAAACAAAACATACAAAAATGTGTCTACAGAACGATAAATTAACAGATGCATAGAACACACACGGAATGATATTATCTTATTCCAAGGACAAACATCATACAGGGCATATATGATATAATGTCCTTGTTAATTCTTACATATCAAAATGCATATACATCATATCAACAAATGTTGACATATCAATTAAGATAGTAAAACAGCTGCAAATCCATACCTGTACAACCAGAATACCTATCCTGAAAGATACAAATTCTCTTGCAAAAATAATTCTCCAAATAAGAACTGGCCCAGCAGTCTCCACAATAACAGTTTTACAAGCTGACCCTCTGAGGCTTACATGACTTTGGCTTGTCAGTTTTCAACCATGTGACTTCAGACAGCTTACCCATATATGGAAGTTGGCATCGGAGCAACTGTGAAAGCATTACCGGGATAAGTTTTGCATTCGGATTACTTGGAAAATCCCCCCTTATCTGCAGTGGAGAAGTCTACTTGAACATGTATGTGAACTAAGAAGGAACCACTTCATCCTCAATATGGGGGTAACAGCATACTGCTTTTCGATGGCTGTGAAAGAGTCATGTGATGCTAGACAGATGTGTAGGCTGTTTCTCAACAGTAATAAATATTCGGTATGTTTCACAAACAATGCTTGATGCTCAACTGCAAATACGCTGTCTTTCGTCAGTTACTATGACAACCTATTAGACCCCTTCAAAGCTCCCACGGGTGTGATAATGATGTCATATAGGATGACCTTATCTAAACTAATTAGCGGGTCATTCGGGAGTTTGCTGACAAACAGAAAAGGCAAACATGTCAGAACAAACTGTGACATCCACTTCCATGTTTAGTCAATCACACCTCACTAATCTAATTAAATATGACGCCGAGCTGCCAAGTTTCTGTTTAGGCATGAAGTAATTTCCTCCAAGCAAGCTTCTTTTTTGGCAACTTCCTACAATGACAGAAATCTATCAACATGTGATTTTTTTATTTGTCTACAACCTTTAAGAAATTCAAATTCAATTCTAGCAATTTTTTACAGACATAAAAGACTGGTCTACAATAAAATCCCATAGAGTATGTGATGTATTTGACCTGTAAATTTTATTGCTGCCTTTTCATAACATATCTCTGCTATTAGTCAGTAACTATAGAAGCTGCAAGTCATTGTATCTCAACAACAGCTGGGATACAATCATAAAAGCTATTTCTGTGTGAAAACTGAAGTTCTTTGTTAACTCGAGAAACAAAAATTCTACACAAAGTCAAGGTATACAGTCTAATTTCTTAAATAAATTCTAATGCAAAATACCAAACCTAAGACTTTGGCAAACTGTTGCTTTCTTGTTTGCAATGATGAAACATTGTGAAAAGTGCTGCCTTCATTCTCCCTTTCAAATGAATTACTTTTTTTGTGCAAAAAGCAATCAGTATTAAGTTATTATTGATGACAACAACTGTTGGTATTGCCACAACAGTATCCTTGGTACGGTTCAGGAGTATCAAGTTCAGGCATGGTATTTATGGCTGTCGAATAAACCTCTACAGAGCAAAGGTCTCCAGATGACATATGACAATATTTCAATTTTAAAAAAATTCTGCCGGTACACTTTTCAGATAATTTTAGCACAAAATGACCCTGATTTTAACTCCCAAGAAATAAAGTAGTACAAGTAAAATTTAAAAAATGTCTTGATCACTTTTCTATGTTGTATCTATCATATTTTCATGAGTCAGAAATTCTCACAATACTTGCTGATGATACTAAGACTAGCAAGAAGCATTCTAGTTGTAACAGTCTTCTTTGTTCAATGTTTTTGCACACATATTTAAATCATTCATGTTATGGCTTTAGGAATTATTTCTGATAAGTATGATTGACACCAGCAAAGAAGAATTCATAATGATTTATGCATCCGTGTTTCTGAAAGGATTATAATGGATTAAACTAAAATGTTAATCATGACAGCTGATTAATCCTTCATTGATTGGACTATTTTATATAAATTTTGGGAAGACAGTTGAGGTATTCCAAAAATAATCCAGACCAACCATTACCTAGCTACATAAACTCTAAAAGGTCTGATTCAGTTAAAAAGGAACAAGGAAAAGTGTTTATGGAAAACCTACTGTACCATTGATTTATAATTCTTCAGCATACATATCTACTACATGTACTTGATAATCAGGGAACTCCACCATCTACAATTCAAAGTTTTGTTATCTTTCCTCAATTGCATATCCTCTACAAAAACTTTTTGGTGATCTATTATTAGATTATTTTCCCCTTTGACCCAAGCATTAAATCCTGTTTATAGTGTTCACCTGTCTAATTTGTGATTATTTTCTTAAAATCTCTTGTATGGTCACTGTATACAAGTTGTAGAAGTTTCAATGACTTTCATTCAGTGTCCTGAAAATTTTTTCCATCAAATTTTGTTTTACATAATGATACTTTGTGCCAAAGGAGGGTCTGGGTGCATGCTCTGGATCTGCGAAACAAGGAAAATTTTGACCCTCTGAAATGCAAATTTTGCTGGTAGACTAATAGTACTTTAATGTCCTCTGTTTGCATGTGTTAACATGTCAATTTTTCTGTGTCAAAAATGATCGATTGGATAAAATTTTTGTCATGAGCGGCAAAATTCCATCAAATGACGAAAACACAGATGCCTGAGTTAGATCTCAACACTCAGTTTCATTCTTCTGCCCAAGTATACCAGTATCCCCTATAATATATATCTTCGACTTACCTTTCTCAGATTGTCCTCAGCAAATCTGTGACAAAAACCCAAAATGAGCTCTATCTCTCACAAGTAAGAAGTGTGAGTAGGTACAAACTGGTATCCTGGACCTCACACACATGCATGGATGACTTCACTCCCCTTCCTACTTCCTGATGTTATCACACCCAACAAACAAGCTATCCTGTCAGGCTCCTGCTCACTCAGGATATAAAATGTAAATGATCTCCAGTCACGAACCGGCAAGGTCTATCGTTATATTATTACAATTTTCTTACGAGAGTGACATTCTCTTTATGTTTCGTGAATAAATCTAATTGAACTTGGACAATGTAGTTTTTCACATTTGTAACATAGATATGATAACATTGTATATCACCTGTTATACACAACACTATCCAACAATTTCCAAGCAAAAAATTCATTCTGACAGGGTATATATCTGCTGGTTTGAGCCTGCGATAGGGATACGGATAAACCATCTCAATTGCAGGCACTCTGTGTCACTTCCTCCGAAACCACTCAAATTTCAACACTTTTTGATGAAGTGCAAGGTCATCAGCCACAAGTGCAGATTGTTGCTGCCACCGTACCATGACATCATCCACATTTTCACCACCTCAGACCCTGACCTTGGCCATTCAACATCTGACAAATTACCATAAACTTCACCACAAACTGCACGCAAACATCTTCTAACTCAACCATCTTTTCCCATGGTACCTATACCGTACTGTGTATGACTTTCACATATGAACTCCTCTGTTATATCTAAGTATGCATCATCTATTTCACGATCAACACATCCTGATATCCTCATTATTAAACAATAGGAGATAAATCAACTGATGAAGCCCCCTTAAGATGATGTTGATAACTTAAAGTATATGAACATCAGTAAAAGAAATTATCACTAATGGGATAAATCAACATTGATGAAGCCAAAATATACGATATCATCTAATACATATCACAGGAAACCTTACCTCAACATCTTTTCCTTGGCTCAGTTCTGAACAACTACCGCACTTCCCAGAACACACCCAGAATTTTGGACTGATTTTCTTACTAATCAAATTAGTCTGTGCCAACCAATGACGCTACCTCTATCCCAGAGGATATTACGGAAGTTACGATCCTCCCTGGATGTCAACGTGATCAAATTGATGCATCCTCGTAATATTCCAGACCGCCCAAAAAACGTGACTTCCCGCCAGTTGGCTTCCCTCCTGGCTTGTCTTTGAAGCGTTTGGGATTCGGTCGGAGACAGAGCATTTCCACGC